TGGGAGCTTCCGTAATTATATTTGGCCAAAATTATCAGACCTGTGTTTGTTTGAAACATGCTAGTATTTCTAGGTAAGCCAGTTTTGTTCTGAAAGTGTGAAATTAGAGTAGTTTAAAAATTTAATCAGAACAGTATTAGAGGGGCGCCTGGGTGGCTCAGTTGGTTAAGCAACTGCCTTCGGCTCAGGTCATGATCCTGGAGTCCCGGGATCGAGTCCCACATCGGGATCCCTGCTCAGCAGGGAGTCTGCTTCTCCCTCTGACCTTCTTCCCTCTCTTGCTCTCTTTCTCTCAATAAATAAATAAATAAAAATCTTAAAAAAAAAAAAAAAAAAGAACAGTATTAGAAACTGGTTACATACATAGCTACCCACACAGTTGATTTCTTGAACTAACCTCAGAGTCTATAGTTGGTTAAAAGCATTGCTGTATTTTTCCTTTGTTTTGTTAAGTTTGGTAGAATATTGATAAAGCAGGGAATATTTTTAGCCGTTTACTTGTGAATACAGAAGGTAACTTGACTGAAGGTGAGGCCGTGTGCAAGACCCTGCGGTCAGGTTCCGAGGCTGCAGCCAACACAGCTCCTCAGAGGCCACCTGTGTGGGAGACCGGCTTCCTTCCTTCTTTCCTTCCACACCATAATGCGTGCTCACTGACAGATGCAGGGGATCTCATGCCCAGAGCTGAGTGCTGTGTGCCACACACATTTGGTTCTGCTCAGGGTTACTTAGAGATAGAAACTTCTGGGGCTTCTGTGATGCATGGTTTCGACGAGTTGTCGCTCTGTGGCCAGTAAATGCAGGAGCTGTGCGGTGTGCGCTGGGCCTCGCTGCAGCTCCCCTCCCAGCTAGAGGCTCTGGGTCCTGCTGACCCACGTGAGGCTGAGCACGGGCCAGTGTGAGCACGTGTCTTGTCGTTCTGCAAGAGGCCCTCAGGTAAGTGTGTGGAACCCCGACCCCCCGAGTGGCTGCCTGCTGTGGTTTTACGGGGCTGGCTGGAAGGAAGGGAAGTAGCTCACATACACGGCAAAACTAGAAGCCACCTTCCAGAGTCACCCGTTAATACGAGCCTGAAGGCCTGGAACTAAGCTGTCTTCATGGGGCCCTTCCCCCCACCAGCTCCTTAGAGCAGGTTCGCTCTCCCGTCGGGCCGGCCTTGTGAGGGCACTCTGCGGGCCTGCACTCGGTGGGCACAAAGCAAAACCTGCGAGTTGTCTTAGGGGCCTTGGCTGCACCTTAGGGGCCTTGGCTGGACGTGGGCTCATCTTGCCCTGAGTGGGGATGGCGTGTCCACAGATGGGTGGGCAGAGCCCAGAATTGTTGAAATGGACCCAACACTTAGCAGTAACCTTAAAGGGGTTCTGGCTAGCTTATAGGGTGGTTTCACATTTCTTCTCTACATTCGTTCCTTTCTCTCCTCAATAATCAGTGTTCCATAATTTGAAAATTATAATTTAGGACAAATAGATTGATAGGAAATTTTAAGAATTCAATAGAAAATACGAACTTTTGGTAGTATTGGCTGGACCCAGAGTCAGTGAAGTTAAAAGTCTACATTTTTCTTCTGTCAGATGTTGAAGCAGAATTTCTTGGTGAATATCTTTTTCTACAATACATATTCTTATGGATTATGATAAAGCAGCTCTTGTTAAACCTAACTGTAGTGATGACATTTCCATTAATTCTGAGAATATATTTAGGATAACATACCACACATATTTTCGTTAAGAACGGCAGTTATGTGTTAGTTGAGAGATCACATTAACATATCTCCATCAGTTTATTGATTTTTACAATTTTATTAACAAAAGCCAGTATGATGTGGAAGTAGAAGGTGACTTTTCTTTACTTTTAAACCCAGTATTATTTAAATCTCATTTCAGCTGTAGTTTGCGGTCAAGAGTTTAGAGGAGAAAGGGAATAAGCTGGTGAGAGAGTTTTGCTAAATTTATTTTCAGCTTCGCCAGTGAAAGGACCCGAGACACTGAAATCTTAAGATGTTTAGCTGCTTTTCAGAATTTTAATTTTGAACCAACTTGAGACTTAAAGGAGAGTTCCAGGAAGAGTAGGAAAGGCTCCTGTGGGCCTACCAGCTCCCCTCGTGTTATCACCAGATGCACCCACAGTGGGAAATGCACGTCCTGTCGTCTCTCAACTGCAGCCAGTGTGTGGTGGTGGGCTGTTGGGGGCGTCATGGCCAGGGCCCACCTCAGACTCAGCGTGGGGGATGCTGCCTTTGGTCCCCTGGTTGAGTTGGGGTCTGTCAAGCTACTGGGATTGTCTTCATTGATGTGGGACGCATGTTCCTGGGGCACCTGGAGACCACGTGCTCCCTGCTCTGACCACCAGTGTCCACGCCTGTCTGTGGGTCTTGCCTGTGATAGGTGCATGGTGGCCAACACCTGCTCTCTTGGCTGTTCTCTCATAAGGAAAAGGCATTCCCTCTCCCCTTTTCACCCACTGCATCATCTGTTGATGTCTGTGGGCTCACGGAGGTCTCATTTACCCTTGGGATTTACCCTTGGGCCTGTCGTCCAACACTTGCTGATTATGCCTCGCAGATGGCTCTACCTTTGGCCATTGGGAGTGGTTTCATGTTGACTGCTGTGTCCTTCCAACGGGACTCAGACTTTTATTTTTTGAATACTTTCTCGCTTTATTTTTTGAATACTTTCTCGCTTTCTAGCATGACAAGATTCTCCAGGCTTATCTCTTGTTCCCTTGGCCCAGCCCTGACATCAGCTGCTTCCAGGGGTTTGTGTTGAGATCTGAGACCTGGACTCTGCTTACACTCTGATACACGAATGCCAACCAACTGTGCCTCCAGCCCAAGTCCCCGCGTCGGTGCGGACCCTGCAGCGCCAGCCCAGCACCCCGCTGTCCCAGCTCTCTCTTCTCCCTCTCCCTCCTCCTGGCTCTCGTTCTCGGCTGTGTCTTTACTTGTCCACATGCAGTGGTTCCCGAGCTGCTAGCCCACCTAGCCTGTGAGGAGCACATCTCCTCACCTGCCCTGTCGAGGGTTCCACAAGCTGGCCCTTGCTGTGGTGCTGCTCTGTGTAATAGGTGCATTCCCTTGACTGTCGGGTCCCCACTTCCTGATGGATCCTTGACATTTGCTGCAGTCAAGTTCCCTCCTGCTGTGCACCATTCTGTGGGTTTTGGCAGATTCAGAGTTGGGTGCCACAAGTGCGGTCCCAAACAGTAGTTCTGTCTTTCCTGCGTCCCCCACTCTGCCCTGGGTAGTTAGCCACCCTGTCCCCTGGCCCCCACCACACTGGCTTTGCACTCTATAGTTTTGCCATTTCTAAGATGTCTTCTGTATGGACACATAGAATATGTGGACTTCCCGTTTAGCAAAATGCATGTAGCTTCACCTGGGTTTTCTCGTGAGGTGATGCTTCATTCTTAGTACGCAGGAGGATTTCGCAGTGTGGGTGTGGAGGTCAGACTTGTCTGACGCAGGTCTCAGTGGGCTAGAACCAAGGTATCGGCAGGGCGGGTTCCCTCTGGAGGCTCAGGGGGAGAATCCGTTCCTCGTCCAGCTTCTAGAGGCTGCCGTGTTCCTTGGTTTGTGGCCCTTCCTCCACCTTCACAGATGGCAGCTTCGGGGCAAGTCCCCAGGCTGTGTCTCTCGGGGCTCCTCTGCCTCCTGCTTCCAGTCCCAGGGCCTTTGTACTGTGCGGGGTCTATCGGTGTAGCATCCCTGACCTGCAGCCTTAACTGCCCTCTGCCGGGTAATGCCGCATATTCACAGGTTCTGGGGTCAGCGCCTGGACATTTGTGCCAGGGGGCATTGATCCGCTTCCACTCGGTATTGGGAGATGTGGTGCAGCTGGAGGGATCGGTTGGATTCAGGAGGTCATTGTTTAGGCTGGAAGAGCTGGGAAATGTGGATGTGCTGATGGGATGTCCCAGGGTTTTGGAGGGAGGAAGAGGATTGAGGTGTAGAAATAGGAGTGGGTTGCGTCCGGCCCTCAGCTATCAGGGCAGACGGGCGATGTCGCTTTGAGGTGGCCTCCGTGTGTCTGAAATACCCCCCCGCCTTTTAAAAGATTTTATTTATTTTGCGAGAGAGAGAGAGAGCGAGCGCGTGCGCACAAGCGAGCACGAGCTGGGTGGGGAGGGAGAGGCAGAGGGAGAAGCAGACTCTCCACTGAGCGAGGAGCCTGACATGGGGCTCCATCCCAGGACCCTGGGATCATGACCTGAGCTGAAGGCAGATGCTTAACTGACTGAGCCACGCAGGCGCCCCGAAGTACCCACTTTTAAAAGCATTTTCTCAAGGCTAATAGGAGATGCAAGTTCTCGAGTCATCCTTAGAACCAACGCTGTCTCCACTCCTGCCCCGAATCCTTTGTTTTCTGTTAACTAAAGCCACACAAAGTCAAATGAGTGCTTTCTGTTTTATCAGTAATAATTAAGTGTGATGACCTAATGAAGAGGGGTTTAAATGAAGTCTTATGAATGTTAGGAACTTAGAAAAGGCTTCCTTTTCTCCTGGCATGGTTGTGGTTGGCCATCTGGAGGGCTTTACGTGACCTGGTAGCTGTTTTTCACACTTGGTTGGGTTTCTGAGAAGGGGCAGGGCCTAGGGGCTCCACTGGCTGCCCGTGCATGTCCCTGTGTGCTCACTGTCCATCTTGGGGAGCTTTTGCCTGGGCCCGAGCATCCATGTCCGTGTCCATGTCAGCCCTGCCTGTTTGCTTCCCCGCTCCCCCCAAGCACTGCTGGTTCTCATCCTCTGGGCGCCCCCAGAGCAGGCTGAGCACATTCTGCCTCCCAGGCCCCTGTGCATGGCAGCTTTCCTCCCTGTGGCTTCCCTGGCACTCAGGTGTGCGTGCCTCACGTGGCTCTCGGTGGACCAGGGTCAGCCACCCGTGGTGCTGGGAACTCGCTGCACACAGCACGCACTGAGCAAATGAGAGAGGCCTCTAAGTCCTGTAACAGGGTCTGTGTTCTTTCACAGATTTCCTTTTAACCATTTTTCCTCTTTTTCACAGCGCTCTGGTGATTGCCACAGTGTTTGACCGAAACATAAACTGCAGGAGAGCAGCCTCTGTGAGTTTTCTTGTTTTGTTCCTTTTCCTGACGGTGTGGGTGGGCTCTGACCCATGCCCCGCTCTGCTGAGCAGGCTGCACACTCCTGGACGCTGCCTGTGTGTGGTGCCTGGAAAGCCACCTAGTGGAGTGCCAGCTCACATTTCCTCCCAGTTTCGGGGGGAAGGGAGTGGTCTTTAGACTGTGAAGTGGGGTCAGGATGAAATGCTCCACCCCCAGCATGCCGAGAAATGCAGCCATCTCGAGCATCATGCCTGATGACCAGACACAGCTCGAGGTAGCCTGTGCTCTGGGGAAGGAGAAGAAAGTGTGTTCTGGGCATGTGACCTGAGTGTGACGGCCGCGCGGGTGGCTTTGAGCCTCAGGAGGAGTTGTTGCCAAGCAGAGGTCAGCTCAGCTTCACGCGGTCATGCTGGGCCTGGAGCCTCATTGGACGTGCCTGGAGGCCCCAGTGCCCCTTCATGTGTTTGAACACCAGTGCCTGGCCCCGCGGAGCCTGGTCATGTTTGGGGTGGATTCTGTGTGCAGAGAGCTTTCAGCAGGCTACACAGTTGCTTCTGAAGGGCACTGACCAGGAGTCTGCATGAACATCCCACTGCGTCTTGGACAGAGCTGGGCTGTGGCCCCGAGCTCTGCTTCAGGGGTTCCTGTGGATGCTGGTAGAGATGATGGCTGCTGGGCCTTGTCCCTGGGATACTTGCTGGTGATGTCCATGCTGTGTCCCGCCTTCACACAGGGCTGTCTTACTGATGGCCAGTCACTTAGATCAGGCTCAGACATGGGCTGGTGCAGGTGCTGAGGGACCAGAAGCCAGGGCCAAGAGTTCCTTCAACAGCAGAGCCTGCTAGCTGAGGCGACAGACCGTCTGGAGACAGGAGACTTAGTTTCGGGTACAGATAAACAGCTCCCCAAGCTTTAAGAGGTAAAGAATGGACACGGACAGAATGGCCGTGCTTTGAGAAAGATGTGGGGTGTGGCTGGTTGTGGCTCGTGGGAGAGGTAAAGCCAGGAGGACCCTGGTGCTGGCGAAGGTTTGGTTTCCGTAGGGTTCGGGTTAGCGGGAGACCTGCAGGAGGAGGGTCCAGCCTGAGAGGCACTGGGGCCTGGGAGGGTTTTCTGTGAGCCCTCTGGATTGTCAGAAACAGGGGCATAGGGGACTTGAATGTGTTCTGTGGGTGGTTGGGCTGAGAGGTTGGATTGAGGGTCCCCAGCTGGGACGTGGAAAGAGCTGCCTACCTTCCCCAGGGGGCCCCGCAGGCTGAGCCTTCCTGGCTCAGAAATGGGTGAGCCCCAGGGGGACAGGGGGGTGAGGTGGGAGGGCCTTGCTCTGGAGGGCTCCGCCCACAGACAGGGGGGCTGAAGCTGATTTTAGGTGTCCAGAGGGGAACAGACACATGCTTTTAGGGACGGGTGGTAGAGAGAGGGTGGAGGAGGCATCTGTACCCCATGGTCTGGTCCAGAAGGAGGTTGTGTGAGTTTGTGAGACAGATGAAGAGGAGGAGGTGTCTGCTAGAAGAAACTGAGAGCCACTTGTTGAAATCCACATTTAGGATTTGAACACTCGCTTCAGTAAGGTTATTAACACTTAATGGAAAAAGATACCATGGAGGAGATTCTGACTGGTGAGAGAGGGCAGAGGGCACAGGTCAGCAGTTAGGGTTGTGCCTGGCTGGGTCAGAGGTGAAAGATAGGACTCGAAGGCAGGACACCTAGGTGCACTCAGACTGCCTTCGGCAGGTGTCGCACTGCCGTAAGATGTGGGCCTTGGGAGAATCAGCGCCATGCTGGGCGTGCTCCCATGTGCTCTGGGGACACGTTTTTGGGATTGTTAGTGTCACACTCAAGCTGGGACAGTGCAGGCTGGAGTGGCTGGGGGCCAGGGAAGTACCTGGCTTAGGTGGGAAAGGATGGGTGGTGGGCAGTGGCATGGCCACACAGGCGAGGTACCCACGTGCATAGTTCCTGAGAGGGGTGGTCACTGCTGGATCAGTTGTACTTGGTTCCCGCTGCTCCTACAGAAAGTCAGCAGTTTCTTTCCCACGGAGGGGAAGCCAGGCCAGGCAGCACTCGGCCACAGCTCCGTCAGGGATATTGGACTGTCGTTTCCGTCTGTTGTGATGTTTTTGTCTGGCTTTGGAATTAGGGTAGTCTGGCCCAATGAAAGGAATTGGGAATACAAGATCTTCCTCTTGTATTTTGTACAAGAAGCTTTAAAAGCTGACCATTGGGCGCCTGGGTGGCTCAGTCGGTGAAGCATCTGTCTTCAGCTCAGGTCATGACCCTCAGGGTCCTGGGATCGAGTCCCGTGTTGGGCTCCCTGCTCAGTGGGGAGCCTGCTTCTCCCTCTCCCTCTGCCCCTCCCCCCCACTGCTCATGCTCTCTCTCTCTTTCTCTCTCTCAAGTGAATAAATAAAATCTTTTAAAAAAAGATTGCTGTTACTTTGTTTCTACTTTAAATGTTTGGTGGAAATCATCAGTGAATCCAACTGGGCCTTTTTTTTTTTTCTTGTTCTATGGAAGTATTTTGTTATTAATTCAGTTCGTTTAGCTTGTCTGTTTTTTTCTAGTGAAGGAGCTTCTCTGTCCATCTAAGCTATCAGGTGCAGCGACAGGGCATGGGGGCAGTGCTCCATCTGCCACTTCTCACGCTGTGCTCTGTCCCGTGTCACCACGAGGATGGTTGGCGTGGCTGTTGACACATGGCGGGTGCTCCACAGATGGGTGTTTCATGAATGGGTGACCATGGACCCAGGGACCAGCGTGGTACCTGCTCCCTTTGCGTGGGATGATGCAGGTGGAGTGTGGGCCTCCCTCGTGTGTGGGAGCTCGGTCAGAGCATCTCCCGTGACCCCAGACAGTGCCTGTCTGACTGCCTGCTCTCTGTACCCCAAAATAGGTCTGATATAAGAGGTACTTGGCCTCAGGCCCTTCAAAATTTTGTGTCAAGAGAAAGTTTGCCAGCAAAGCCAGTCTCTTCTGTGTTCATGCAGCTTTGTTTCTTTTGTTTGGAGCATCAGTAGGAAGCCTCGTGATTCCTTGAGAGGCCTTCACATTTCTGCCCTGACATTCACTCGAAGGCCATAATCTTAAGACACTTTCAAACACAATGATGATTTTTTGTTAAATCTGGACTTAAAAAGTAGCTTTTATATTTTCTTTCTTGTTTCTTGTAAAGTCAAACATTTTAATGGGAAGCAGTAGTAAAATCAAAGCACTGATACCTTTATAAACCCTGAGGAAGGGGTGAAAAAAACCAGAAATAATTTTGTTTGTTTTTCAAGTTAGAATTAAAATCCTTCAAAATTAGCAGGAGATTCTTTGCATGAGACATACATCATCTATATATGCCTGCTTACCTAGCAGCTGCAAAATTAAAACAGTGAGGGTAAAAGATGCATTTGTTTAAAGCTCAGGATTGAGTAGGTGATAACTTGGAATGAAATCTCTTACTGTGGAGCTGCCTCCTCAGATAAAGGCGTGTTCTGCCCTTTCTGGCTCCTGTTTGTGCTCACGTTTCACGCTCTCCTTGCTGGGTCACTCCCTGCTGAGGTTAGGAGGGCCTGGGCCCGTTTGCTTGCCCGAGGACGAGGCCACCCTGCCCACCCAGGACCACAGGGCCACCGAGAGCATGTGGCCACCGAGAGGGTCTGAGCTGCCATGTCCCTTTGGACACTTCCTCTCCGGCCTGTGGTTCATGTGCTGCCACTTCCCGCCTGCACCGTAGCGATGGGCCTCCAGGCCCATGATGGTGGTGGTAGAAATGTGAGTTTGCTGGGCCCCATGAGGGCCTTGGTGAGTGCTGTGTTCGATCTTCACAGCAACCCTGTGAGGATCTGGGGGGGTGGCGGAAGGGAGGCCTGACTAATTGATTAGGGTAAACACATTTGTGAATCGTGTAGCTGTTCAGCGTTCATTGCGCTCCACGTTGGAAGGTACCCACCCAGCCTGCAAATGTGTCGACATTCCCCAGCCAGGAAGGAAGGAGTGGTGCGGATGGGCGGCCCCGTGCTTCCTCATGGGAGGGTCAGTGTGAGGAGGGAGAGGGAGCCTGGGAGCCTTGCTTCATCCGCAGTTACACTAAATCTCCTTAAAACCCACATTTAGCTAAAAGATGTTTGGCGTCTAAACCCCTATGTTACTACTTTTGACTTTCTGTGTTGATATTGCATGGATGGAATCATACAGCGTGTGACCCTCAGGACTGGTGTGCTCCTTGCAGGTGCGTCCAGGCTCTGGCTGGGCCGACAGCTCCCTCCTGCTCCTTGCTGGTCGGCTTCTGGTGACGGCGGAGCCACAGTCGCTCCAACCGTGTGCATGTTGTAGGAGTTCTGGGTTATGTCTGGGTTTGCACTATTTTAAGAATTAAGCTGCTGTGAACATTCGTGTCCAGGTTTTTGTGTGAACGATGGTGGTTGCCTGTTTAGCCCTGTGTTCAGAGGGGCTGTGCCGTTTCACCTTCCCACCAGCAGCCTGTCAGGGATCCCATCTTCCTGCAGCCTCGCCAGCATTCTGTGTTCGTTCTGTGGTCCTGTCGGGCATGTGGTGATGCCTAATTGTGCTTTTAAGTTGCCTTTCTCTGATGGCGAGCACCTCTCCGTTGTTCTTGCGCCCGTGCCTCCCCTTTGCTGAAATGTCTGCGGTTTGCTCGTTGGCTGCTGTGTGCACTGTTGAGTGTGGAGTTGGTTAATGCTTCAGATGCAGGGTGCCGCCTTCACTGCTGTGTGGCTCCTGGGCTGTGGCTTCTGTCCTCCTGACAAGGCGTCTCACAGAGCAGGAGTTCTAAAGTTTGATCTGACCAGTTTGTCAGTTTTTTCTTATGTGGGTGGTGTTTTCCGTCTCCACTCTCAGAATTCATGGCCTGGCCCTCGGTCCTGAAGGCCTTCTGTTTTTCCATTCTGTTCCACCCTTCTCTGTGTCTGTCCTCCATGTCTGCGTGCGGTCAGCCGCCATGCTGGGGACAGCCATCCCTGCCTTCTCTTCTTCAAGACTGCTTTACCTCTTCCAGGGTTGCATTTTTCTACATCAGTCTTGTATTATTTTTTGCCTTTTTGATGTCATCAAAATAGTAAATATGTTCCTTAATTTTGCTTGTTATGTAAATTGACATATCATATATCCACTGCCTTTTGGTTGGTTTCTTATTTTCTTTAATAAATTTATTGCAAAAGGTTCAAAATGGTATGTAGAGAAAATTGAGTCTCCCTCCTCCCGGTTTGAAAGCTATGGGAGGGCCATGGGTGAAATGCCTGTCTGCTGTGCCTGGAGGAGACCACGCTGGTTCTGATTTTTGGGGGGACCCACCCAAGATGCTGGCCAGGGGCAAACTCGGGGCTCTGTGCTTGGGTTTCTCAAGTTCCTTTCAGCACACCTGCATGTACTCCCTCTCAGCGCCCTGTAAGGTACACAGTGAACTGCCCCCAGGGGCTCTGTCCAGGAGAAGGGGCCACATCCACGGGCAGGGCGCCCTCCCAGGGCTGCCCTGACTTCAGACGTGTCATGTGCTGACCACGTGGCTGTGCGGTTGCGGCCCATGCTGCTGTGCTCGATGTTCTCCTCCTTTGGGGAACTCTGAGCCCGCTGCTTTGGGGAGAGTGGGGTTGGGGAGCCAGCCGGGTGGTAGATGGGAAGGGAGGCGCTGCCCATTGTCCACCGGCCCTGCTGTTGTTACTGTGCCGAGGGCCTGGTTGTCACACCCCCGCAGAGCAGGCAGAGGGAGGAGAGCCACCGGGGAAGTGAACAGGCATTTTAAAGAAAGCACCTGAAGACACTTATTCTGTTTAAGTAAATATTTTGAGTGCTAGGCCCGTGTTGGAGGCTCAGGGCTTGTCCGTGATGGCCCCTGGGGAAGGCAGAGGGAGGAGGTGGGCCATTCATTTTCACCGTTGCGAGCTGCTATCACAGAGTTCCCAGGGAAAGGGTCTTGTGTTGGATTTGATTTAACGGACTGATTTGACTCTGTTCTCATGCCTCTATCTAGGGCCTTGAATTAGGCATCAGTGAGAAGCTCGGCGTCTGCATCTAAGGGACACTTTTCAGGATGTGTCTGATTTTATAAACTTGAATTGTGGTTTAAAAAAGCACCAGGACCTAGAGTCGGAATGACAACTACCCTTGAGGCTCTGATCAGCCAACAATGAGGACTTTTATTTAAAAAAATAAAGCCATGGGTCATTTGTGCTGCACGGCGTTTGTTTTGAATTTCTTTCCTGATGTTTAGCAAAGCACAAACCTAACTCATCTGCTCTGTTTGTTCTTCTTTTCCTTAGGCTGCTTTCCAGGAGAATGTGGGAAGACAGGTATGGCTACTTCTTGAAGTCTTCATTCCTAAAACTTCCTGTAGTTTTAACAGTAGAAATACCGAAAGCTGCAAACTTGGTATCTCCTTGCATTGTTAGATGAGGGTAAAGAATTTACCTAGAATAAGCTAATATTTAACTCAATGACGTCTGGTCACAGAACCGCTCATGATGTTATCCAGGGGAGAGTTGACACAAGTTTTAAACAGTTAGTGTTGTGTTTTATGGTAAACTCGAATGTGTAAGTAATTTCACACATACACACATCAGAGCTCAGTACCTTATGCATTGCCACCTCATATTAGCAGTTGCCTATGGGTGCAGGAGGGATGTGGGTGGAGGAGCCCGGCTTCTCAGGGACAGAGATGTGATCACTGCCCATCCTACGTGTGGTAGGATCCAGCTTCTGGAAGCCATTGACCCTGTGGCCTCTTTCTGTGCTCACCAGCACCATCGTCCACCCTAGTCCTGAACCTCTCATGACTGGTCAGCCTTGGCTGTGTGATGTGGTCCTTATCACTGAGTCATTCACTTTGTGTGAGCCGGTGGCCACACTGGGACATGTGGTTGGCCTGGGGAAGAATGGGCTGGAGGCGGGTCATGTTGGGGGAACACTGAGCTGAGCTCTGTTCAGCGCCCCAGGAGGAAGGTCTGGGCTGAAGAGGAGTATATTGTGGGCGAGGGCATCAGCAGATGGTGCTGGGGGACAAGAAGAGACAGTGATGGGCATCTGGGACTTGGGGGTCAGAAGTCAGGCTGCAGGGCCCAAGGGGAGCCCCATGTAGAAGGCTCGCTCAGCAGCGGGAAAGGGAGGCCTCAGAGAGGGAAGCCTCTGGTAAAACACAAGCATTCTAAGACTTGGTGTTGGGGTGTTTGGGAGGAAGATGCCCTTGTAGGTGCCCCCTATGTCCGTGAGGGTCCTTGTTGCAGAACATGGGGGCCTGGGTTCTGCATGCTGGGTCCACCATCTCCCCGTTTAGTTGCCGTTTTCCTGGGCTGCCAGAGGCCAGGGTGAGGGCTGACACTTCTGCTTCCATGGCGGAGGCGACCTTTGGTTCTTGGTGGGAAGTTCTCCTAGAATCGGCCCAGGGAGGCCGTCCAGTCTTGCTTCCACAGCTGGCTGCAGGGCACGTGGTGCTTTGTGCTTCATTCTCCTCCAGCACCTCTGCCTCTTCAGGGTCTCTCCCTTTCTTCCCTGGCTCAAAGGTGGCTGAGACCAGTGTCCTTGGGTGTCACTTAGTCCATGTCCACTTGGGGCCCTGGAAACTTAGAAGACGGTGGCTCCCTAGGAAAAGACAGCTGACCTCTGAAGGGGACCAGCTTCAGTGTGTCGGGCCTGTGAGTGTGGAGAGCTCCAGAAGGCAGTGCTGCGCTGGCAAAGGAAGGGGTTGTTTAGGGAAGGAACTTGGAAGCATAGGGGGTGGGTGGGCAGGCCGCTGTAGTTAAGGAACCTGCTGGAAGCTGAACCGAGGGGCTCTGGGCACCCCAAAGTCAGAGCCCAGGAGAAAGAGGCATCTCCCCACCCCTGGCTTCCAGCCTGCCATGGGCAGAGCCCTGTTCCAGACACAAGGTGGTCTGGAGCAGGGATGCTGTTGAGTCTTGGCCATCGCCGTGTCCCGTTTGGTGGGGACACTTGGGTTGGGTGAACAGTCAGGGAGAGGAAAGGCCTTTAACTACGGTCTAGGTTTAGGGGATCAGTGGGAGTCGGTGTTCTGGGGGTGTCCCCCCCCGTACTGATGTTTGCTGTGAACCAGCATACACATAGCACAGGGTGCAGGGGGGTTGTGTTAAAGAGACACAGACTTTGAAAGAAGTAGAGTTGGGTGGGCCCAGGGTGCCCCCCAGCCCTGCACACGGCAGTGTCCTGCTGTTTGGTGGGAACATTGGAGAAGAAGGGTGCCAAAGCAAACAGGGTCACACTCAGGGGAGGGCATATAAACTCCCTGACTTGGGATGAGGTTATTAGTGATGTTTGCGTGTTTGCGAGAATTCCCAAAATGTGACACACAAGCTTGAGGTGTGCAGATGGTGCTGGGGAAATGGCGCCGACAGACTGGCTCACAGGGTTGCCACAAATCTTCGTGTGCAAAACGTGCAGTATCTGGGATGAACGTTGAATCAGGTGTGCCTGTACCGTTGAAACCTGGTTTTGCTTGTTTGTTTTTATGGTGTGGGTGTAAATCTCTTATTAAACATTTTAAAATGGAAAGTGTTTGAGTTGTTTGAAAAAAATAATGAAATCTTTTTGAGTGGTTCATATTGTACTAGCACTGTGTCCGGCGTGAGATGGGCAGTCAGCGAGCTGTCTGCTGCTGGCCCCCAGCGTGCCTGTGTCGTGGTGTGAGTGGGCGTGGTCGTGGCCGTTGGCCTTCTGGAAATGCCTCCCCTCACTCGTGTTGCTTGCTCTCTTCTCCCTCCTGACTCTGTGACTAGGGCACTTTCCCTCATGGAATCGAGATTTTGACTGCAGCGGACTACTTTGCTGTTGGCAACAGAGCTAACTGTTTCCTGGTTATAAGGTAAGTTGTTAATTTGTCACAAAATACGATACTCCCTGTGATGCAGATATCAGAAAAATCGCCACAATTTTCTTTCTTCCCCCTGGAAAGTCCACCAAGAGTAGATGTAATTTACATGATCGAAATTTGTGTTTCCCGCTGATTGGACCAGGTGCCCAGTGTGGGATTCTGTTTATGTAAACCTCTAGAAAATGCAAACTAATCCAGAGGCACTGCGGCAGGTCTGGGTGGCCTGGGGAGGGGTGTGGGATCTGCTTGCTTTTTAAAGGGGTGCTAACAGCTTCAGGCATGATAACCAGAACGAGTGCTGTCTCTGGTCATCCCCTCCTCCCAGCCCGCCCTGTTGTGTGGGCGCTGCCTCTGGGCCCCCTTTGTGCCTCATGCCTCCTGCAGCTGCCACGGACACACTGAGGTGGCTTAGGAAGGACTGTTTTTTCTTTCCCAAGCTGAAGGGATCTCTGGGGTGTTTATGACATGCGAGTAAGAGGTATTTGAGAAATCAGGTCAAGGGGTAGATACGTAGCATCACCACCAGCGCTGCAGGACCCGAGTCAGATTTGCACCTGCGTGACTTGCGTGCCTGCTGTCTTAGCTCCTCGCTGCAGCGCCAGCACGGGGAGGGCGGGGCGTGTCTGTGGTGGGTCACCCTGGCCGTGCGCTAACCATTCTCCATCCTAACGAGAGACTCTCTCGCACCTGTGCAGAAGTTACTTTTCTCCATGACAAGCGTGCACAGATTTTTTTTAAAAAAGTAGCATTTGGCCTCTTTCTCAGAGTCTTTGACTAAACACGCTGTATTTTTAGCCTCCTTTCCATCTTTTCTCAACATCTAATAGCTTTCTGTGCCTTATCAGTTCTTTCCTGCTTTTGTTCTGTTTTCTTTGTTAATATTTGAACATATGTATATATTTAAATACACGACATTTATTAGAAAATGTAGACTCTCAAACTCCATCCGTCACTGTTAGGTAGAAATGCAAATACTGAATATGCATATGAACCAGGACCAAAGGGTGACAGATTTTAAAATATGCCATTGGGGATGGGAGTATGGGTGATTTTTTTTTTTCTTCTTTCTGAACATATATTTTAATGTGCAGCATTTACCACTTTTCCCTGAGCTTCTTGGGTAAAATAATCAGCAGTTTTTAGCCTTGGCGTATTTTTCTTGTCGCTAAGGTTTCTAAGCTGGTCTAAGACTTACATGTAATCAGTTGTCTGCATTTCATAGAGATTTTGGCAAAGTTTAACCCTGTGCAGCGCGTGTTCTTTAGTGGTGCGTTTGGTACTCTTAGTGTGGAAGAGAGGCGGCGGTCAGTGCGGACAGAGTCCGGTGGTCATAGGACTGGGATCTTTGGGCACTTGGGGGACTGTCCACTCCAGCCAAGACAGGGCAGACACCCCGGGTCCTGCTGTCAGCCTGGACTGTGGTGGGCGCAGGGGGAGGAGAGGGAACTGTGCTGAGGGGAACAAGCCAGGAGGGATGGTCCAGGGTCAGCAGGGCCCAGCTCGGGTGTGGTGAGGGGCTTCTGAGCCGAAGTGAGGGGTGTGCATCTTCCTGAGTCATGGGACACGGTTCAACAGTCAGGTCTGCGTTTTGGCAACTGGAAGCACGGAGGTCAGGTCCCTCGTGAGGCGGGGGTCAGTCTGGACCCCTCACAAGTTGATTCTTCTGGAGATTAGAGTTTCTGGCACACAGATTGGAAGCAAGTTGAAAGCAGCAGGTGAAGACAGTCAGGTGGGGTGTAGTGGCAGGTGCCCCACCTTTGTTTTTACTTGGACAGCTTTGTTAAAGTTCTGAGAGCACAAGGACACTGCCGGTCCCACACATATATCGTAATCTGTCACCACGCCCAGGTAGTGGGAGAGCTGCTAGCACAGTTTCCCCGGGCCCCTTCCCCAGCTGGCTCCGGTCTGCTGGTCACTGGGTTGGTTTGCATTTTCTTAAGTGATGTGATGGAATCACACAGTACGCACTCTGCCCTTGTGCTGCTGCTTTCACTTGTTGCATGTTAATGACCCATTCATTCCTTGGTTGCTGACTAGTATTCTGTTGTATGGATACAGCACGTCCGCTTGTCCGTCCCGGTCGCGGAACATCTGGGCGTCTCCAGTTTGGGGCTGCTGCAGATAAAGCAGCAGTGAACGCCCATGTACACGCCGGTCTGTGGGCAGGTGCTTTCGTGTGTTGAGCACCTAGGGTTGGAACAGCTGGACCCTAACTTTTTAAGAAACTGCCAAACAGATTTCCAGGACAGTGGCCTGGTTTCACACGCCCCCGGCAGCCAGCCCTCGCGGGGGCCCACCTTTCTAACTGTAGCCATTCCAGTGGCTGTGCGGGGCAGCTCATTAATCTGTGTGTTCCTAATGCCTGATGGCTTTGAGCGTCTTTCAGGGGCTTCTTTGATAAATCTTTCGCCTGTTTATTGGGTTAGTTTTCTTCTTACTGAGAATTTGAGAATACTTTATATATTTTGAACACGAGTGCTTTTTCAAACAAACAATCTGCAGATGTTTTCTTTTTGTCTGTGATTTGTCCTTTCAGTATCCTGTGTGTTCCTGAGACTAAACCTCTAAAAAAGTCATATTTATTTTTGTACATGTATTTTATTACATATGATTTCCATATAGGGAGATTCACCAATATAAAATGGGGGTTTTGGCTGATGGGTGGCCACCACTGCGGTCAGTGCAGGGCATGCTTCCCTCACTTCAGAAAGTCACTCGGTCCTGGGCCCTAGCAGCTCTGACCCCCCTCCTGTGCCCAGAGTCTGCCTTCTCTGGAATTGGTGTGAATGGAGTCACATGGCGCGTTTGCTTTTGCGTCCTGGCTTCACCATGTTACTGAGTTCCGCTGTCCCCTGCCCTGTCCTCCATTTACCGGCTGGTGGCTGCTTGAGCCCCTTTGATGTCAACATGTGAACACAGGGCTATTTCTGTTGGGAAAGAACCAGTGGTCGTTGGCACTTTCTGTTGTGGGTGTCTTGCTGCTGGAAGTTTCCTTAGCAGATTTCCGACGTCTGTGGTCCTGTGCATGCTTCTGGAAACACATTTTGTTGTATTTTGCTTTCCAGTAATTTGCACATTCCTGTCATACAAGTTCTTCGAACTAAGGAGCCCTCGGAGCAAACTGTCTCCTTCTCTGCTTCCTAGCTCAGTGAACGGCACGCCACCCACACAGTCAGCTCCGTTTTGCTTCTCCTACTGTCTCCTTCTCTGCATCCGCTTGGTGACCTAGTTCTGTCACTTCTGTGTCCCTAATAGCCCTCAAATGCTCCTCATGCTGCTGATCCCTTCAGCTGTCCCTGTGGCCCAGCTCCTACTGTCCCGACAGTGGCCAGGCCCTTGCCCGGCACCCTCTGTCGACACCCTCCCTAGCACTGCACGTGGCCTCCGTGCAGACCCTGAGCACTCAGGGAGTGCTGTACACTGGGGGGTGCTTCCGGACGTGTGTCTTCCCCACAGTCAGCTGTCAGTTGGTGCCAGAGCTTGACCAGAGCTCAGGTGGCTCTCGCCCTGTCTGTTTCTTCCCATGAGGCCACTGGTCATGGATGCTGGCCTGGGGCAGTCCTGTCTGGCAGTTCCCGGGGCCCTTCGGTGATGGGGGTCCTATGGTCACATCTTGGCTCCTTTTCTGACAGCTTGTCCACTGTCCTGGTTTTTCTGTTTTTCCTTCTGACTTTATCTGTTTCATCGCTGTTAGAGGGTCTCAGTCTCACCTCTGGAGAAGCCTCTGCTTTTCTTTCTTCCACATCCAGAACAAACCCCCTCTTCAGTCTGGCACCTTGTAGCACATGCGTGTCCACACAGCACCCGTATTCACCCCGTGCATGTGCACACGTGCCCCCACCCAGGATCCAGGAGCACCATGCACCCTTCTCGGCCCTCTGTGCCATCCGCCTTGTTTCTCACCACCACGTAGCACATGTGGCTGATGGCTCAGCCCATGGCGGGGGTGTGTGGATGGGCCTGGCAGGTTCAGACGATGTGTGTAAGCAATTGAGGGTTTTAGGGGAGTGACATGTGCAATGTGTTTGGAGTTTGTGTGTTTTTGGAGCAGGAAACACAAGGGCGTGGGTCTTTCAGGGGGGCTCTTTTGTCCTGGTTCTGTCCCGGGGGTCCTTGTTGTCATCGGTTCCTCAGATCGTCTTCTAGAGGGGGTTGGTTTATGTCACACAGATGGGTGCACACCGAGCGCTGGCGCCTGGTGCACAAGGTCGGCGGGGCTTCCGTGCTCCTCAGCGGAGGACGACGTCTAGCGGTGGGAGGTCAGGAGGTGGCTCGGGTTTACCGTCCCACACGGCAGAAGGTGCACACCACGTGCAGGATGCACGCAGCACCTGTGTCCTCTGTGTGGACAGAGAGTGTAATTTCCTGGCCTTCGGCTTCTGTCTCATCTTTTGCTGATTTGTATACGATGTGAAGTGATTATTTTTGCGCATGGTATGTCTCAGCTGTGTGGTTGTATATGAATGAATTAACAAAAATGGGATCGCTGGATCTTTATGTTTTCAATTTCCTGTTTGATGCCAGTTACTGTCCGTAGAGGCTGCACCGGAAGGTACTCCCAGCGGTGTTTCTAGATGCCTCTAGATCCTTCCAACAGTGGCTACACCCCTCGCTCCTGACTTTGGCAGTCTGGCAGATGGACGGAGGTTTTCTTTCTGTCTCCCATGAGAAGGAGGCTGAACATGAGCTGTGTCCATTTTCTTCTCTGTAAACTGTGAGGATTATCTTATGAGGTGATGGTATTTTCTGATGGATTTGGAACTTTATTTTAAAGAAGTCTTGTATTTGTGATAACAGTTGCTGATATTTTTTTTGAGTTTGTTTTTATCTTTTGACTTTGTTTATGACGTGTTTTTCCTGGCAGACATTTTTCTTTTTTGGTTATGTGTTTGTACCAGTCTTCTTTAATGGGTTTTGAGTTGTAAGTAGAGAGACCTGTCCTATTTGGAGATTTTTTTTTCTTAATTGTCCTACAGTATTTTCACTAGATGTAACTTTTATTTTTGAGGCATAATTTACACTCTGTCAGCTGTCCTGGAATGAGGGGCACAGTTCAGTGAGAGCTGACGGTGCGCACACATGGGTGACCACCTTCATTGAGATGCCACAGGCGGGCGGCTCCAGCCTGCCGCTGTTGGTCACTGATGCCATTTGTAGAACGTCGCATAAGTGGAATCAGAAGGGGTGTGCTCTTGCGTCGGGCTTCTGGGCTCAGCACGTTGTGCGTGCAGTGTGTTGCGAGTGGTCTCTATCCTGTGGCTGCTGCAGGGTAAATCTTAGCTCACCTGTTCTAGACGTTTAGGCTGTTTTGAGGTTGTGGCTCTGATGAATAAAGCTGCTCTGAGCTTTTATTTGCAAGTCTTCATGTGGACCTTCAGCTTTATTTCTCCTGGGTAAATACTTACAGGGGGATTTCTGTATATTTAACTTTATAAGGAACTGCCAAACTATTTTTGAACGTGGCTGTACGATTTCACCTCTCACAGGCAGGTGTGCGGGAGTTCCTGCTCCTTCCCATCCTCACCGCCTCTGAATAATGTCTTTTTCAGCATGTTTATTGCCGGCTTTCCTGAGTACACACAGCCAATGATAGACCACCTGGTGACCATGAAGATCAACCACTGGGATGGGTAAGTTTTGTGTTTTTGTGCTTGTTTCATTAGTGATGTATTTTATTAGATTATCTATCAAATTAGAATTTTTTTTTTCCCAGAGGAGAGATTAAATTGAGCTAAGTCTTGAGAGTATATCTTATCATAGGTTTCATATTTTAAGATGACTTTTGACAAGTGATAGGAGTTCTAGTCTTCATGCCTGACATGCTGGTTAATGGTCTGTGTCCAGTTTTACCTCTGGAGACCTTAGGTGTGCCAGGTGTGAAACGTTCCTGTGTGGACGCTGTCGTGCTGGCGTGTGATGGAGGATGTGAGCAGCCTCCCCCAGGCACTCCCTTGGTGGCCCCTTCCTCTGGCGCTGCCCTGCATGGCTGCTCTTGCCGGCGGTCTTCTTTGTTGTCTCCTCAAAGCTAGCAGGCTTTGGTGGCTTTTCCTGATGACGGAGCAATCTGAGGGCCTCTGAGCGTTTCACTAGCTCACCGTCCCTTCTGAGGGAGGGCTCCCTGTGCGATCCAGAACACAGAGGAGTGTCTGTGCCACCAGCTGCTGTTACCGCCGCTGGGAAGACGACATTGCTTATTGTAGGAGGGCTCGGTGTGGCCGCTGGTGCAGACAGGCGATCTCAAGGGCAGTAAGCGCCTGCAGATGTAAGTAGCTTGATGGGTCATATGTCCAGAGCCCCAGGTTTAGGGTGGGTGTCACTTGCAGAGAGTTCTTTCTGATCTGCTGGGGAACGTGTTCCAGCTTCTACCAGGACCAGTGCCATGGGTGGTGAGGCATCCGGTGTGTCTCCCTCACGTGCAGGAACGCAGGGCTCTCCCCAGGAGCGGGGCGCCTCTGGCAACAGGAGCACCTCTGTGTGCCACTTGTGTGGGTACGGCCCGCCCGCCAGGAGGCCTCTCTCTTGGTTTCCTTGCCGGGGACCTTCCTGAGAGTTGTGCCAGTTTCTGACACTTGAGGCATAACTGCAAAGATTCTTGTAATTAGGACAAAGATCCCATGCACTGAACCTGTGATAAATTAGTTAATTAGCCTATCAGTCAGTAGGGTATTTAAGACCAGAATTGTACATGTATTATTACCTGTGGTGTTAGATAAACTCTTGAGCTGTTGAAATCTCCAGCTGATGTCAGAACGCTCACTTCCTTCAGTTCTGGGCCTCTCTTGTTAGGTGCATTTACATTTAAAATTTGTGTCTTCCCAGCGGATTGACCCTTTATCATCATGACATGTTCTTCTCTGTTTCATGTTAGATTTCTTGTCTTAAAGTGTGATTTGATAAAATTATAGCATAAGGGTCGGCATACTTTCTTTAAAGGGCCAGGCAGTAAATATTTTAGGTCACTGTTCATATATTTTATTGTTTTTCTTTTACATGACCTTTTAGGATGTAAAAACCATTCTTAGCTTGGGGCCTTACCAAAAGAGGCCCAGATGGAGCCCTTGTAGCAGCTCCCCGCCTACTGCCCTTTGCTCTCAGCCTGTGTGTGTTTTATAGGGTCTCGCTTTTTATATCCATTCTGACAAAGTCTGCCTTTTGTGTGAGGCCCTTAGTCTGTGCACGTTTAATGTAATCATCAGCATGGTTCACTTTCTGCCTGTCATCTTGCTGTTTGTTTTCTATTTTTTCTCATGGCTTTTGTTAATTTAATTTGAAAAAGATTCTTTGTGGACATTTTCTTTTTTAGAATAAGCTCTGAAAACCTGCTCCCCCCTGCTTGTGCGCACGCACTCTCTCTCTCTGACAAATAAATAAAATCTTTTTATTTTTTAAAGATTTTTTTTTTTAATTTATTCATTTGAGACAAAGAGATACAGAGAGAGAGAGACAGCAGGAGCAGTGGGGAGAGGCAGAGGGAGAGGGAGAAGCAGACTACCTGCTGAGCAAGGAGCCCGATGCGGGACTTGATCCCAGGACCCTGAGATCATGACCTGAGCCGAAGGCAGATGCTTAACCATCTGAGCCACCCAGGCGCTTCTAAATAAAATCTTAAAAAAATTAAAAAAATTAAAAAAAATTCACAAATGGGACTTTCTAGTTCTCTGGTTAGCACACGGCTTGCTCATGGAAAATGGGGAGCCCCTTGCAGAATTCTTCACAAACACTGTTGTGTAGTGTGCCTTGACTCATACAGGGATTCTGTTTTACCTTAAATAGTATCACTTTTAAGAGGTATTGGTCCATTCTCTTGGGTTTCTTTTTGGAAGTTTTCTGACACCCAAGATAATTTTCGTATCAAGGTAAACATAAATTTTTTTTGATTATGGGAAAATATACATAATATCTATCATCTTAACCACTTTTTGTGTACGGTTCAGTAGTGTTACGTACATTTGCCTTGTTGTGCACACATTACTACCATTCATCTCCAGAACTTCTTCATCCTGAAAAACTGAAACTCTGTCCCCATTGAACAGGGACTCGTCCTCCTCACCCCCTCCCTTAGCCCCTGGCACCCATCATCCTATTTTCTGTCCCTAAGAATTCAATTCCTCCAGCGTCCTGATGTAAGTGGAATGATGCAGTATTTGTCCTTTTGTGACTGGCTGATTTCACCGAGCATAGTCTCCTTAACGTTCATCCATGTTGTAGCAGGTGACGGGATTTCCTTCCGTTTTAAGGCTGAGTGACACTCCATTGTGTGTACAGACCACATTTTCTTCACCCATTCATCTGTTGTTGGACCCTGGGGCTACTTCCATCTCTTGGCTGTTGTGAATATTGCTGCTGTGAATGTAGGTGTGCAAATACCTCTTCAATACCCCACTTTCAGCTCTTTTGGGTAAATACCCAGAAGTGGAATTACTGGATCATACGGTAATTCTATTTTTAAAGTTTTGAGGAGCCCCCAGAACCACACTGGTTTTCATAATATAGTCGTACCATCTTACATTCCTTCCCTCCATGTCCTCACCGTTCCTTGACTTCTCTTTTCCCAGTGTGGCTATCTTACTGGATGTGAGGTGGCACCTCGTGGTTTTGATTTGCATTTCCCTGATGATTATTGACGCCGAGCGTCTTTTCATGTGTTAGTTGGCTATTTGTCTGTCGTCTTTGGAGAAATGTCTCAAGTCCTTTGCCCATTTTTTAATCCAGTTACTTGTTTTTTGTTGTTGAGTTGTAGAGGTTTTTCATATATTCTTATATTAATCAATTATCAGATACATAATTTGCAAGTATTTTCTCCCATCCTGTAGGTTGCCTTATCACTCTGTTGACTATGTCCTCTGATAAGCAGAATTTATAAATTTTAATGCAGACTCCTTTATCTATTATCACTTTATGCATTTTTACTTTTGTTGCCTGTGCTTTCGGTGTCATATCCAAGAAGCCGTCACCAGATCTAACATCACGAAGCTTTTCTCTTCTCTTTTCTTCTAAGAGTTTTATAGTTTTAGGTCTTCTGTTTAGGTGATAAATATAACGGTTTTAAGTAGAGAAAGCTTATGCTCAAAGTGGCACTAATTGGGAAAGATGCAGGTAAGTATGCTTGTTGGAGTGGCCACCCCCTTTGCCTCCTTGGGACTTTTTCCTGCTGAAATAAATGGTTCTCTGCTCTGTGACCCATTAATCACTCATTCTTCGGAAACAGCTTCCTGAATGTTGACCAAATACTTATGGAGGCTCTGGGGGTGCAGTGCTGGGTTTGACTGGTGTTAGTGACCGAGTGATTAGTGTTGGGCATGGTGGTTGTGGTTGTGTGGTGCTGACTTTCTTGGTGCCTGAGACATCCCTGCCTCCAAGAACTCGTGGTTTGCTGTCAGAAGTGGACCCCCTAAGCAGGACCTGGGGGCCCAGGAGGGGTGGGATGTGGTCCTGCCTGGTACGGGGGACATCCTGTTTTCATGTTTCTCTGTTCACTCAGTGCTGATGTATTTTGGATGTTTAATCATCAAAATACAGATAGCCTTCTTTTGCATTTTTGTTTCCACCCTAATGTTTTTATCCTGTTTCTGTGTTGTCCTGTTGTCGTCATCCAAAGCATTGTTGTTACAGTGATGACTGGTCTCCACCGCTGTGCCCTCCTGGCGTCTAGTGCCTGGCGGGTAGGGTGAGGTTGGGGAAGCTGGGTCTGGTCGGAGGCCATCTGGCCCCAGCGGGCTCAGGAGGGCCCCAGGCCCTCACTCACCAGCCCTGGGGGCTTCCTTCTGTCGTTTGATGTATTGAGAACATGTCTGATGTGTTTTCATTGGAAGTATCTGTACTGATGTGATTTGTGCCTTAGCCATACGACATTCCTCCTGTGCAACCCTTGTGGTCCTCACAGTGAGGGTTTCACGTGGCTCTGCCCAGTATGCCCGTCTTCTGAATCCCTTGGGGTGTGGGAGGTTGGAGACACACTGCCATGTGGCACCCAGAGAGGGAGGCTGTGCCCCATGCAGGCCTGGCTCAGGCCCTCCGTTTGGTCAGTTTGCTTGTCCTTGTGTGTTACAATCACAGGTGCTTATTTGTTTGTTCATTTCTGTTAGTTTTTGTTGGTGGTTTTGAGTCAGTGGGCAGTTGACACTCCTGTGTTCTGTCTGTCCTCTCTCTTCATGAGTGGAATAAAGTTCGAGTCATCAGAAGGAAGGAACTGACAGTTGTCTTCATCCCTCCCCCAGGGTCATCAGGGAGCTGTCTGCGAAGGCTCTGCATAACCTGGCCCAGCGAGCTCCCGAGCACAGCGCCACTCACGGTGGGTGTGTTCCGCCGTCCTGCTGGCAACACACGCACACACGCGTGCACCTGCATATCTGCCACGCACACAGCAAGGGCGAGGACAGGCTGCTGCGCTGGGGTGCAGGCCTGGAGGGCTGAGTGATGTTGTGTTCCTCTCTCGCTGAAAAGCATGTGAATGAAGAGCTGGTCTGCGCTTGGTCAGGGGACAGAACACAGCCAGATGCCGTGAACGTTGCGGTGTGTGTGCCCTCGGTGCAGGCGCTGATTACCGCAGGGAGCTGATGGCTTCCGTTGTGTGTCTCGTGTATTTCAGAAGTAGCTTTTTTTTTTTTTTTTAAATGAAGTAATTCACAGTCTAATAAATTAAAAGATGAGCTTCTTTCTGGCAGCTCCTGGCTGTGGGAATAGGGGAGGAGAACTGCCAGGTCCAAAGGGACCACACCCATTATCATTAAGGAAAGAACCCATACTCCAGAATAAACAAACATCTGATCTCAACATAGGGAACCATACTCAAATTTCTTTAAATTATGCTTATTCTCACTGACTTTTAGAGGGTAACTAGTGGTCACATTGTGACCAAATGAAGTCACCGATTTTACTTATGTGTGCCTCTCACACACTCTGGGCCATTAGTTCCTAAAGGCCTTCAGCTTCATGGTCTGTTCGTGAAATACAATGTCAGGAGTCTCTTATTTACCTATAATTGATAATCGTCATGGCCTGAATGAAGGGGCGCTCCACCTTGTCGTTTTTTTCCGGGCGGAGAGCATTAACAGGATGAGGGATTTCCCCAGTTCTTGTACACTGACCGCTGCTAGCTGCCATGTTTGAGCGCCTGTGTGGACGCCGTCTGCTTCTACATCCCCTGCAGCACTGCATTTGCGTGTTCAGGGAAGTGGAAGCACAGAGGGATGTGATTTCCCAGGTTGGTGGGGCAGAGCTGGTGTGGACATGGCTCCTCGTCTGCACTCCACCAGCCCGCAAGGGTATTGTGACTTTGCTTTCTGTCCCCAGAGCACCAAAGTGGTAGAAGTTTCCTTTGCTGTGAGCAGGGGCAGCAGGCTCCCACACTGAGGCGCATCACGCACAACTGCAGGGTCCTGCCGCTCGGCCTCCATCCTGCTCTGTGCTCAAGGCAGAGCCTCTGCCAGCCATTCAGCCACAGCAGAGACCCAATTCTCTCTCTTCGCTCTGTGTCCCTGCCCTGTGTCTTGGGGACCTGGGGATTGGGAAGCTCCCCTCCCCCATTTTGCTCACTTCTCTGGGTGCCGAGGAGGGTTTGGCCTGTTGACTTGGGTTAAGTCCCAGGTGTTGCGCTCGTGGCCCTTACAGAGGTCACGTTTCACGGGTGTGTCTCCCCTTTGGATTTTGAGTCTGTGAGTCTGACCCGTTGTCCTCTGTGCACTCACTGATGTGTCGTCTGGCCCCTGTCCTTTGCAGTTCTCCCACGTCTGCTGTCGATGACACAGAGTCTGGACCTGCACACGCGGCACGGAGCTGTGCTTGCCTGTGCGGAGGTCGCCCGCGGCCTGTGCAGACTCGCGGTACAAGAGAGCAGGTAGGAGAAGCACCACAGAAGAACCACTGCAGTCGCGAGCTGGGGACCCCCGTCCACCTTTCTGTTCGTTTACTTGGGACGGTGTCACTGGGTCATCAGATTCCTGTGTTTTATTTGACAAAGTTTTTCAGTGTTCTCTCTCCTCTCACGAGCCGTGTCCATTGATGGACTGGCACCTCTCCCGTGGGAGCCTGCGAGTTCCTGGCCAGCTGGGGCCACTGATGGCCTTAGGTGTCGAGTGGCTGTTTTCTTACGTTCCCTTGTCTTTCTGGGTATCGAGTTAGGTTAGAAAAGCAAGACATGCTTTCAGAGAGGGTAGTGAGTGGGCTGTATACTCAGCATTCTTCGCTCGTTATTACTTTTCATAATTTAGAATACCAGAGAATATAAATGGTAACATTTCCACTGAGAACTTTTCTAGCCGGCAGAGCTCTAACGGGGCGGGGGGTGGGGTGGAGCACAGGGACATTCGGAGCAGCTCCATATATGCCATGTTTTGTACATTTGTAGGGCTACCATTGGGGTTTCTACTTCTCTTTCCAACCGACTTTTCCACAAAAGGAAAAGCTCACAACACAGCACAGTGTCTGCAACCTGGATTTTGGATTGCAGTTTGAGGAACACTGTGTTTTAATCCCATCAGATCACTCTGGATGATTCCTTGGGGGCCATGTGAGGCAGGGTTCTGGCGACAAGCCCAGGAGCTTTGGTCTGGTTCACCCCCCTTGCGCCCCATGGCCTCGACATACACTGCCGTGCAGCTTTAAGGACATCCACGTGGGGGTGAGATGGCACCTGTGGGCCAGGCCGAGGACTTGGTGTTGATGGCAGTGCTCTCTGTGATTGAGCAGAGACCAGGCGAGAGCCAGAGTCCTGCCCAGTACAGTGGCACGGGATGCACCAGGGCATGACAACCTGGGAAGCATCCACCGGGGCAGGTCAGAGAGACCAGCATCTGGGGTTTTCTTGGGGGCTGGGATGTGGGTAGCCTCTGCCTGGACCCACATCCCAGACTCCCAGAAGGAAAACAGATTTCAGCATAAGGCACCTGGTTTGTACCAACAGTCTAGGCACAGAGAATCCCCATTCACAGTTAGGGAAGGGTGGGAAGCCTCCCGAGATCCAGGTTCTTGGATGCAGGCTGAGGGCCAGCTGTGCCTTGGTGGCAGTGAGGCCGCTGTGTGAGCTCTCATCTGGTCACAAGGCCCTCAGCTCAGCAGCAGGGGGCGGGGGCGTCTTGTCTCTTTTCTCAGACAGTCATATTGGCTGCTCTGTGGCCCTGGGGGTCCCGGCTCTCCAGCAGGGCTCTTGCTTTCTCCATCCCAGGGCTGTGTCCATTGTCAGCAAGCTGCTGCACGGGTCATGGCTTTACAGGAAGGTCCATATACCTCCCTCTTTGAGTAGATGCTGCTTTTAGGGGATTACCCTCTACAGGTGTTTGGGGAAGCTGGTTGGGCACCTGAACAAAGTGCAGACCTTTCTGAGCCCCAGGCCCCTTAGTGCTTGCTGTCCTCAGGAGCTCAGCTGTTGTGTTTGAACCCATGCAGGCCCGTCGCAGACTACCTGGATGAAGCGGCAGTGCAGGGCCTGAAGCAGATTCACCAGCAGGTTTGTGTGCGGCCCCTGGGAGGGTCCCGTTCTCCAGGTCTCCTGGTGCCTGGAACTGTCCTCTGCCCTTACAAGCTCTCTCCCCCTCCTCAGCCCTGATCGAAGCCCCAGAGTCTGATGACAGGACAGGTCCTGCTGAGATCAGTCCTGGGGCCCATCGCTCAGAAGCAGGTCTCCTCTTTGGCCTCACTGGTGGCTCGTCTGGGGTGGGAGGTGCACGTGCTCTCCTCCTGCCACCGATCGGGGCCCGTGTAGGGACACGGTCTCTTCTGTGCTGCCCGGCTCCACTTGTTCCCTGGGAGCTCAGCGCCTCGGGCGCGTTCCACGCCTCTGTCATGGACGTGGCCTGTTCTGTGGAGGTGGCACACAGAATGAGTATGATGGCTCTCACTCCCACCTGTGCCTCCACGGTGGGACTGCCGTCTGAAATTACACCCAGATTCTGTGTTTGCACATCTCAGGGTTGGGGGGAAGTGTGTCCATTTTTTGAGTTTTTGAGATTTTCCAAAGCTCTGTGATTCAGAAGAAGTGAAGTGTGAAGTACAGGCCTAATGTTACCAGATAACATCAAAGTCACTTGTGAGGACTTAGATGGGTTGAATATTTGTTGTTCTGAATAGAGTTCTATATTCTTTAAGATTTATCTCTGTAGGTATAACACCATTTTGATAGCAGATCCTCATCCTGTGTATGCTACTGACTTTATGATTTTGGCAAATCCCTTCAGTGGGGTGTGGGAGTGCTGTGCGGTGGTGTGCGTGAGGGTGCTGCTGACAGGGGTGTAGCATGGAGACTCAGCAGCGGCCAGGCGGGGCATCCCCAAGCTAGGGGTCCTTTGTGGAGCTCAGGAAGCAGCAGAGCCTGCCTCCCTTGAGTTTCTGTGGCACACAAAGAAGGCATTGGCCAAGCTCAGTGCCATCTTGGGGAGAGGGGTGCTGGTGGTCCCGGCTGCCCAAGAGGCTGTCTGGGGACCTTGGAACCAGGACACAGGTCAGTCCTGGCTCCCCTCTCTGTGCCTTGGTTTCCCCTTCCCAGTGGGGGCACTAGAAAGCAGGCTGTGTGAGGTGCTTGCCGGGAGTAGAGTGGGCTCCGTCATGAGGGCCCCGCCGTCCGCTCTCTGAGGACGCTTGTTCCTGCTGTGTCCCCGTCACTCCTGTCCGTGCTCAGGAATGTTCTAGATCTACTGTGTGGTTTTAAAGAATCAATCAATTTAAATAACTGACTTTCACTTCTTCATTTTAGCTTTATGATCGTCAGTTATACAGGTAAGCTTCACAAACCCCACGTTCTTGTTTTGTGTCTTAAAGAAAAAACACTCTGTCAGTGAAGATTGGGCTGGGCTGTTAGGGCTTCTTTCCAGTCACCCCCACGGATACCTGCTTTGTGTTACTTTCTTTGAAGGGGCATCAGTCAGAAGATGTGAAGGTCGAACTAGCCTCGTTGGGGTTTTTAAGCTTTATTGAGGTTTCCGTGTCCTGTAATAAAGTTTGCTTGTGTAAGCGTGTGGTCCGATGGGTGCTGGTCATTGCAGATGGCCGTGTGGATGCAGCCGCCATGCCGAACAGCTGGTGTCACCTGACGCTTTCCTCCTGCCCTTTGCAGCTGTCCCTAGCCCAGCCCCGGGGGCCCCATCTGAGCTCTTTCTCTGTAGTGCTGCCCCTTGTGAATTTCGTGCAGATGGAGTCCCACTGGGACGTCCTTGTGGTCTGGCTGCTTTCACTTAGCGTGAGGTTTCAGAGGCTCACCCTGGTTGTGGTGTGCACCACGGTGTTGTCTTTGTGTCACCGTGTGCTTGGTGTGTTTATCTGCCCACGAGGTCGGGGTGGGGGTTGGGTTTTTCCAGCTTTTGGCTACTTGGGGTACTTGTGCTGTGAACATTGGTGGGTCAAGTCCTGGTCTGGATGTGTGTTTCCACTTTTCTTGGGTAAATCCCTGGGGGAGGTTGTGGTGGTGTATTTTTAAGGCCCCGTCAGACTTGTCCGAAGGGCTGCGCCCCTTTGCTTCCACCAGCAGTGTTTGGGAGCGTTCTCTGTCCTCGTTACACATGGTGGGCAGTCTTCACTGGGAGCCGCCCCTGTGGGTGTGCAGAGGCCGCGAGCACGGCCCGGAGGTGCATCTCCCTGCGGGCCAGTGAGCTTGGCATCTTCTCCTGTGTGACTGGCCATCTTCTGTCTCCTTTCGTGAAGTGCCTGTTCAGATCTTTTGCTTACTAAAAAAATTTCATGGTCTGTTTTCTCACTGAGCTGTCAGCACTCCATATGTTCTAGATGTGAGCTCTTTATAGATGTGATCACCCAGAATTTTCTCCCAGTTTGGGGCTTACCTTTTCATTTTTCTTTGTGGCTTTCTAATGTAACTGTTCAGGGTAGGGAACGTGGCCTGTTCTCTGTTTTTCTTGACATGTTCACCTTTTCGTCTCTTCCTGAAAGCGCATGGCCTGCTCTTACCCCTGGCCAGGGTCTCAGACCTACTCAGGTCACCTGAGTAGTTCTGAAAGAAGTTCCTCAGCAGGAGAAGCCTTGGAAGGGGGCCAAGAGGCAGTGGTCCTGGCCTGAGCCCCTGGTCAGGGGCTAGCTAGCATTGTTCTCTGCTGCTTTGGCAGCTGGTCTAAGTTAATTTAAAGCTGGTCTTCTGCGCTCCTGTCCTATTTCAGAATCCCTTTTTCTGGACAGCTCTGTCGATGGTTCGGTGGCACAGACGGCCTCTCTTAATGGCTGTCCCCCCACGGACAGCCCTGTACTTGAGCCAGTGTGTAGGGGGGCTCATTCGCATCCCGTGAGCCCTTGTGGGACGTGGCTGGGCCTGTGTCTGGACCTTCCGTGGCTCCACAGGCCCCATGGTTGGTGCAGAGGTGTGTCTGAGGTCTTGGGATGCTTCCACAGTGCTGTCCCCTTCAACCGTCCTTCCACTCTGGTTGGGGCAGGATGTTTGTGTTTCCCTGCAGACGATGTGCACCTCCTGAGCGACTCACAGGGGTGCTGCTTTCTTCCCCAGTGTGAGTTAATGGACACTTCACCAGAAGTACCTGGTGGAGCTGAGTGTGCGCACGGACAGCAGCTGCACAGCATGGCACGGTCCCAGGGAGGGAGGGTGGCATGGCTGTGCTTTCTGGCATGGCCGTGATTTCCTTGATGGCTGGCGAGGAGGGGTCAGCACCTGGGGAGCTCCCCTTGGGCTCTCGACTGTTCCACTGGCACCGTCCACACTGGCTTTCCATCTGTTCTGACAGCAAAGAGGAGCAGCTCCGCCTAAAGTAGAGAGCATGCTCATTTCTTTCTGGTGAAATGCTTCAGCCCCCTGGACTGATAAACTGTGGTCTGGAGTGGGCAGAGAGCCTCAGGCAGACCCACCAGGACGAGGGAATGCCCTAGTGCACGTAGCTTTGTCTGGTAGCTGATGGCTTATGGTGGTGTCCGTTAGCATTTCACAGGTTCTAAATACATCTGTGCTGCTTTTGAATTTGGTTTAAATTTCTCCTGGACTCAGTGGGCAGGTGGCCCCTGGGCTTGGCTCCCCACCCCGAGCCTGGGAGCGCCCTTGACTTGTCTGCTTCCCTCCCACGCCAGACTCTGTTCTCCATGTCGGGAGCCTTCCTTTCCTAGAGGTCATCCAGTTTCTGAATCGCTTAGCACAGAAGGGAGATAGTCCTGTTATTCTGCTCCAGAAGCCGCAGTCTCATAAACAGACTTCTGTCTTCTCGTGGAGTGCGCTTATGTTCACATCTGCCACTTCGCTGTGCTCAGTGTACGGTGTTAGGTGTCCAGAACGGGCCGTGTTTCTTCTCTAGCGGACGTTAATGGATTGCTTCCTCGGGCTGGATGGTGGTAACTTCCCGGTGTCCCTTGTTCTTAGAGAGTAAGAGTTGAGCCGGATTTGGGATCTGTGTCGTGTGACTGTACAGTGCGGTTCATGCCATAAGGATTATCGTGCCCAGGAAAACCTGAGAATCAGAATGACTTCATCTGGAGGATGGTCACAGCACATCTTCCATTTCTTTACAGAAAGGCAGTGATTACCAGCAGGAAGAAGTGCGGCTGAGCAGCATCTCACTGTTCGGAGCCCGAAGTTACATCTGTCACTTAGGATATTTTATGTTGTGATGTATAAGAAAGATTTTAACTCTGAATGTCTTCATTAATTTTCAGGGGTCTCGGAGGAGAACTCATGAGACAAGCAGGTAGGTCTGAGCCATGGGCTTGTACATGACAAAGTCCTAAGGGCCTTTGCTTCCCTGTCTCCAGTGCTGCATGGTCTTCGTGGTCCTCCGGGCCAGAAGTGTGCCGTGGCACACGTAGCTCCTGCGACCGAGGGCCCGCCTGCCGCCTCCACTCCTGCGTGTTCTGATGTATTTTGGCAGCCACAGGGTCGGCGGCTGGGCTAGGGTGGGCGAACGGAGGTGTGATTTGTCTTTCACGAAGGGATGTCACCATCTTTCCCTCCTCAGTGCACTGTGTATGAAACTGTACAGCAAAGGGTAGATTTCAGATTTTAGTTGAATGTCCACAGGGAACTCATACGATGCCTAGCTTTCCTGGAGCCTTCCCAGCTAAATCCACGGGAAACCCCAGCACTCCTCCACTTGTCTGGGGGTCGTTTGTCAGGTGCCTGTCTGTGCGCAGGAGGGCAGGCCTGGATGCAGGGGAGCCCCTCACCAGGGAGTGGAGAAGTCAGGGAGGGCCTGTAGGCTCAGAGGGCAGGCCTCTGGTGCGGTGACCATAGGGTGGGGACTGGTAAGTACATGGCTGGGGCTGGGCTGGTGGGGGAGGGGCGGGCACTGCCAGTCCTACGTCCCTCCCAGGCTCCCTGAGCGCTCTGTGCAGTCCCCCAGCCTGACCTCTGGACCAGACCCTTCAGTATGTGTGCTTGGTAGTTCCTTTTCTTCCTGGAACTCTTGTCCCTTTGCTTCTGGAATAATCCACTGCACCGGTTCTCACTGTTCCTTCTGTGTCCTTCCTCCCATGTGCCCTGCCCCCCCCAGTTGGCGCCCCCAGAACTGTCCCTGTACCCCTCCCCGGCCACGGGGCTGTCTATGCCTGCCAGCAGCCAGCTAGCCCAGGAAGAGGGTTGCAGCATATGCCTTGCTGCTCTCATTTGCCCCAGATCCTCATCTTCACAAAGAACTGCTAGTTTCCTACTTCTGCTTCAGTCCTCATTTGGGATTCTCAGTTGTTTTTTTTTTTAAGATTTTATTTACTTGACAGACCCAGCGAGAGCGGGAACAGAAGCAGGGGGAGTGGGAGAGGGAGAAGCAGGCCTCCCGCTGAGCAGGGAGCCCGATGTGGGGCTCGATCCCAGGACCCTGGGATCACGACCTGAGCCGAAGGCAGATGCCCAGAGACTGAGCCCCCCAGCGCCCCGAGAGTCTCCATTTTATTAAGGAGCAGTGACCATGTGCAAACCGTTGAGTGGCTGCAGAGAGGGTCTTGCCGAGCTTCCTGTACTCCCTGTAGTCCGACCTCAGAGCTGGTCTGCGGGCCTCCAACCCGCCGAGCTGTGCATAGCGTCTGTGCTGCTCTGACCTCCGCGTGCAGCCCCGGACGGCAGTGGGGCCTTCGTGCAGGACTGGTGTGCATCCCTCTGTCACAGGAGCAGCCTGGGTGCTGGGCTCCTGGCGGACGAGATGGTCCCTTGGGCCGTGAGCAGGAAGTGTGTGGGGTACAGCCTGGGCGGGCAGGCGTAGGGGGCCCTGAGGAGCAAAGGGCACAGTGAGGGGGTGTGGGCAGGACCTTGGGCCACAGCTGGTCACAGCAGAGGTCTCAGATCACAGTGGTGTGGTGGCCTGGCAGGGAGCTGTGCCCCCAGGATTGCTCTGCATCTGAGTCAGACCATACAGGACAGCACTTGCCTGGCCTGCAAGCGGGAAGAAGTCAGGGGCTCCTGGGGTCTGTTTAAAAAGCAACATCATCAACATGCGAGTCCGTGCCCTGTTCCTCTGCAGCTTGGCTGTGCTCAGAGGCACAGGCGACCTCAGCAGGGCCGTGCAGCCTGAGGGGCGGCGTGCACACACCCACACCTGTGTAGCATGCAGGTGAGGAGCAGCATAACGGTGAGAGGCTGTAGCCAAGAAAACCAGAGTGCGCCATAGCTGCACACTGTGTTGGTGCTGGTCCTTGAGAAAGAAGAACGAAGCCACTCGCTGAGGAAACACATCAGGGGAGCAGCGAAGGGCAAAGTCGATGCTGGGGTGCGGAGGGAGGGATTCAGGCAGTGGCAGCAGGAGAGCTGAACAGAGCTCCTTGCAGATCTGAGTCTGTTGTAGAAGTGGCGCCCAGACTCTCAACCCTAGATGAGGCTGGCGGGGTCCCCTCACATCCCCAGCGGTTTGTTACAAGGCTCAGGTTTCCCTAAGGCTTCTTCCAAGTAAGTTGTTTTATTTTCAGTGATTCTCTTTACGGATGCAAGGAAGGAAGCACAGACGTGTCGTAGACCGTTCCACACGGTGCGGGGAGGGGAGCCTGACTTGAGTTTCTAAGTCCGTTGCTAATGAAGATGGTCTGTCTCGAATACCTGGAGGGCTGTGTCCTCACTGACTCCAGTTGCCCTGAGGGGCCTCACCTGCCTTACACATGGGCTGCTGGTGACCAAGTTCCCGAAGCGCTGAGTGAGCTTGCCTGGCGTGCGCCACCGAACAGTCATGCACAGGGAGAAGGCCTGCGACCCTGCAGCCCTTGGCTGATGGCAGGGTCTGCGCCGACCCCTTGGACTTCTGTCCGTGCCTCCCGCCTGGCCTGCAGAAGCTTCTCTCCGTTCCCATGAGTTCGACTGATGTCACTGGAGAATAAACTCCAGACACGAGAACTGGTTTCTGTGAGCTGACAGCTGGAACTGCTGAGGGGCTGCCATTTGGCCAAGATAAGCGTGTGGCCCTTGGATGAGGACTTGGTCACTGCCCTCGGGTGCAGAGCCATTCAGACTCCCCTGCACGCCGTTCACAGCTCATGATCTGCAGACTGTTCCTGGGTTTCGTGGCTTGTGTGGGGTGGGTGCAGGCTCTCCAGCTCGCAGCCAGAGCAGCGCTGTCCGGCCTACAGGGTGGGCCACTGGAGGCGTGGTCCCCGTCGACCAGGGGACCTGCTGCGCCGTTGCCTGTGTATTAGGATTCCATCAAGGTAGCTGTTCTCTCCTTGAAGAGTTACGCCTTGTGAAGTTGGGATCCTGTTGTGTATACTACGCCTTGCTGATAAGTGATCGCAGCTTCCCGTGCCAGTGGGTGAGCTGCTTCAGCTTTATCACGGCAGCTGCTGGACGCACACCTGGGCGCTGTCGGACGTATGTCGCCCACCGTCACAGATCTATGTCAGCAGCTTAGGAGAAATGGCTTCTCAAGACAGGAAATGACCGGCAGAAGGAACATGTGTACCGTCAGGCCCTTCCTCACATGGTGGCAGGGTGCACTTCGGAGTCCGCACCACGTGGCGTGCCCCGGGCAGCGTGTGGTGCTGGGCCTGTCCCCTAGGCCCGCCCAGCCGTGATAAGTGGGGGAGCACGGAATCACTGCCTGTTCTCAGTTGCTTCCTGGTGGTGGTGTTTGGAAAGACTTGAGGAGAGGCTGCCTTCCCCCCTCCTCGTTCACCTGCCGCACCTACCACGTACCCATGCTGGAGTGATGGTGACATAGAGAAACTGCTTTGTTTTGTGCAAAGACAGAGAAAAAAAAAGCAACCTAATTGCTGTTCTGGTGTTTTCATACCACCCCGGAGGATTGCTGTGGCTTGTGGTCTGTCGTGTGGGTGTATGCGTGGGGGGGGGGGGGGGTGGGTGCTCTCCATCCACCCCTCCCTCTTTCCCACCCTGCTCTCTGTTCTGGGGGGCTGCCTGCAAGGGATGCGCCTTGGGGGCCATCGTGGGGGGGCAGATGCTGGGGGGTGTTGCTGCTCTTGGGTGGGGGCACTAGGTTGCGCCCTGTTGGGTCAGTCGGAGCTATTGCCAGGTCAGTACATGGGGGCAGAGGAAGGTGAGGCCCTCCAGGGCACTTAGTCACCAGGAGGAAGTAAGCCAGAGCATTTTTCTTGAACACATATTACTAATTTGCTTCCTAGTGTGGAAGATGAGGACCCAGGCACAACCTTCCTGACACAAGCTACTCTTGTCATGTCTTCCAATTTCATACATGTTTTCAGTCACACAAAACTATTGTTTTATGTAGTTGAAACTCATTTAAATGTATCCACATGCCTGCCTTTTAAGAAATCTCTTTATTCCTTTCTGCATTTCTGAGCTTCTGAAGAGGTCTTTTTCCTTTGCCTGAAGAACAGATGCTCTTCAAGTTTTCCATGGGGCGTGTCTGCTGGCAATAAGACCTCTGATTTGTCTGAAAATGTCTTTTTTCACCTTCATTCCTAAAGGGTATTGTTGCTGGGTGTAGAACTTAAGTTCCACATTGACTTATTGATTGGTACTTTAAAGATAACTTGTGTTGTTTTCTCAGTTTCTTTCCTGTTTTGTTGAGAACTTACCTATTCCTCGCTGCTCTGTTGGAGGCAGTCTGTTAATTTTCTCTGGCCACTTCATGTCTGGTTTTCATGGCTCACACAACACACGGAGAGCAAGTGGGTGACAGGGTCTCTGTAATCCGTGTGTCAGCAGGTTGTTTGGGTCACTTTTGGAAGAACTCAGCCATTATTTCTCCAGATTTCACTCTTCTGCTCCCCTTTCTCCCACTGCGTCTGGGGTTCCAGGCTTCGCAAGGTAGACCTGCGTCTCCACCCTTCACATCTCTCCCGCCTCCTCCCCTTGCCTGTCCGTTTCAGTGTGGGGTCTGTGCCCCATAGTCCATGTCACGGGCTCTCTCTTCAGCTGTGTTTTATTTGTTATTAAACCCGTCAATTGAATTCCTAAGTCTTGTGTTTGTCTATTTATTTATTTTAAAGTAGGCTCCACACCCAGCATGGGGCTTGAACTCAGGACCCTGAGATCAAGACCTGAGCTGTGATCAGGAGTTGGCTCAACTGACTGAGCCATCCATGCGTCCCCTAATTCTTGTAATTTTGTGTTCAGAATCTCTATGTTTTAATAGTTTCTGTATTACTATCATAGTTTTTAACGATTTCTTTTACCTTTCTGAACAAAGTAAGCATTTAAAATCTATGTGTAATAGTGCCATATTGTGTAGAGTTGTGTGGTTGTGCTTGTATAGGTGTGGACACTGGGCATGAAGAGTTAGAGAAGTCCTTTGAGGCTCAGGACTGTTTCCTCCCCCAGAGGGTTTTTTCGTTGGCTTCTGGCTGGAGGCCAGGGGTGCGAGCAGCCTGGGGCGCCTCCATCCCTATCAGGCTTGAGCTGTTCTGTGCCAGCTGGAGCCAGCTGACCTGCGTCTAGGTTTGTCTAGGATGTGGTCCTTTGGATTCAAGGCCCATGAGGTGCTCTGGACTCCACGTTCTGTCCCAGTTGCCTGTAGAGGCTCGTGGATACTCTGGCTGTCTTCCTGGATTTTCGAGTGTGTGCCTTCTCTGGAGTCACCACGGCCACTCTGGCAGAAGTGGCCCAGCTCAGGGCTGTGGCCCCCAGCCTCTGCTTGTGGCTCTCCATTTCCTTGGCAGCTCCGCAGTGACTTAAGCACACACAGTTTACTTTTGTCCAGCTTTTTAGAAATATTCTTACGGGGCGCCTGCATGGCTCAGTTCGTTAAGGGACTGCCTTCGGCTCAGGTCATGATCCTGGAGTCCCTGATCGAGTCTCGCATCGGGCTCCCTGCTCAGTGAGGAGCCTGCTTCTCCCTCTAACCCTCCCTGCCTCACGTACTCTCTTTTGCTCTCTCAAATAAATAAATCTTTAAAAAAATAATAAAAAAAAAAAAATGTTCTTACTTAGCTGGTGGGTTGATCTGAATGACCTAGTCTGTAACTTTTTTTAGCTTTTTATTTTGACATGATTGTAGACTCACAGGGAGTTACAAAGCCCTGTGTTTTTTTGTCTTTTAAAGATTTTATTTTTAAATAATCTTTACACCCATCATGGGGCTTGAACTCACAGCCCTGAGATCGAGAGTCACACGCTGTTCCAACTGAGCCAGCCAGGCACTGCCCCCCCCCTTTTTTTTAACTTGATAGAATACATTTAAAGTTCATGTTCAGGGCAAATCTCCAAGAAAATTATTTTTTAAAATATTGAGGACTTGGGGGCGCCTGGGTGGCCATCGGTGAAGCATCTGCCTTCGGCTCAGGTCATCTCAGGGTCTTGGGATCGAGCCCCATGGGGGGGGGCTCCCTGCTCAGCGGGGAGTCTGCTTCTCCCTCTTCCTCTGTCCCTCCCCCTGTTCGTGCTTTCTCTCTTTCTCTCAAATAAATAAAGTCTTAAAAAATAAAATATTGAGGACTTGGATTTTCCAGTCCTTAAAACATACTGTAAAACCACTCAAAGCGGAGTGGCATTTTCTTAGGAGTGGGCAAACAGGCAGGTAGAGCAGAAGACGGGATCGGAAGTAGATGCCGATGTAATGACATGAGTGAGATTTGATATGTGACACAGAGGTACTTCCAACGTCGGTGTGGAAGGTGGCTTACTGAGGGATGATGATGTCACCAAGGGCTGTGTGAAAGAAAAGAAAATCATGTCCCCACCTCATCTATCCAGAACTAAATTTCTGATTAACTAAAAACTCAAATACAAAAAATAGAATTTAAAAAACTTCAAAGAAATTTTAGGAGACATTGTAGGATAGCATCCGTCCCTAAAAATCTTAATTTGAAAAATTTCAAATCTACACAAAAGCACAGAGAAATAGCTTGTGGAGCCCCGTGTTATCTCTGCTCCCGCTCCAACAAGTCTCATTGTTTGCCACTTGTCTGTTTTCCCTGCATTGTAAAGCAGACCCAGACACCGCGTCTTAATACTTCCTCCGATAGTTCCTACTGGTGAGGACTGTGGTTCTGTTCTGTTTCTGGCTTCTGGCACATAGCCACCCAGCATAACCGGAAACAAGCAGTAGAAAGTATGTTTGTCTACATAAGTATTGAAAACTTTTGGATGGGGGAATACACCATGTATAAAGCCAGTAGGCACAACACAGAATTAGAGGAAATCCTTGTCCTGTGGTGAATGAAAAGGTGATTGTTTACAGGCTGCGCAGATCTCTTAAATTTGCCAGAGCAGATAGACGGAGATTCCACGTGAGCGCAGACCCAGGGAGCCTCTGCGTTGCTGACAGGTGCTCAGCCTCCCCCAGCAGGCAGGGGGATGCTGGTTCCCGTAACCAGAGAGAACAACGGCGGTCTCTCTCAGGTTGGCCACACTCAGAGCTTAGCAACCCCGGCTCCAGCCCCAGCGTGTGAGCTGTCACAGGCTTTCCACTTTGCTCACCGTCCTGGGTGCCACTGCTGAGGCTCGGCACGCAGAGCCGTGTAAGGGCAGACGGGGCGGTCTGCATCCACAGGCACATGTGGCCACTGCCGGTGCAGTGACTGCTGGAGCTCATCAGGAGAGCATGGAGAATCACACGACTGCTCACAATGGCGTGGGATCTCCAGGAGTTGGTTACGTTGTTAGAGAGAAAAGCAGGGTGGTGGCCAGAGTCTCTGCCAGCGCTAGGTGGGACCTTGTTCCTGGTCATGCGTAGTGGGAGTCAGGAGCTGTGAGGAGGGGGACCGGCTCACCTTTGCTCTGCGGCACCCCAGGCATATGCAGACTTCGTGGCTGTGCTCTCAGCTCTTGCCGGCGGCACTTGAGGGCACGGCCGTCTGGCCCTTGGGTCCCTGCGGGACGGCAGGAAGCACCCCAGCACACTGTGACCTCGGGGGGAGCTGTTGTCAGCACCAGGGTCTGGAGGTGCTTGTCCTGTGCCCAGCCTGGCTGCCTGACTTCTGTCACACTCCAGCTCAGGCCTGGTTTCTGGGGTCGAGGCGGGAGTTGAGGGACCAAAAGGGGGGAGTAGAGAGAGCCTAAAAAGGGGGGTGTCCGTGGGGAAGCAGCACCATTCCTTCCTGCTGGAGGGTGGGTGTGGCCGTGCCAGGTGCCCGGGGGTGGTCACCAAAATGCCAGTGGTAGTTTTTTCTCTGATGTTTCTCTGTGGTGTGGTGGGTCCAGGGCCACCCTCCCTTGAGCATTGTGGATTCCATCCCACACTTTGGTGGTTTTCTTTGCGGTGGGTGGTGTCTTTAACCTATTGATTATATTGGACCGATTTCTGCCATGGGTGTGGTAATCTTTTTTTTTTTTTTTACTTTTTTTTTTTTAAATATTTTATTAATTTATTTGACAGAAAGAGACATAGTGAGAGAGGGAACACAAGCAGGGGGAGTGGGAGAGGGAGAAGCAGGCTTCCCGCAGAGTAGAGAGCCCGATGTGGGGCTCGATCTCAGGACCCTGGCTGGGATCATGACCTGAGCCAAAGGCAGACGCTTAACGACTGAGCCACCCAGGAGCCCCCCCTTTTCTTTTAAAGTAATAAATAGCTGAAATGATGCAATATTTTCACAAATACCAGATTTTTTGATGAACTATGTACATTTATTTAGGGACCCCAAACCATTGGTCTTCAATGATATGTAATGTACAAATTATGTCAATCATCATCATCATCATAGACAATAAAAATTGATGTATAAAGAATACTCCTTAAAAATCTAAACAGTAAATAAGTTTAATATAAGAAAAAAATTGCAAAAAATATTGAATTGGCTTCTTGGAATTTTTATTTTTTATTATTTCTAAATATGTTCAGTTTCCTTTACACTGAAAATCCCTTTCAAAGTGTGCACTCCTTAGTCTTCATATGGTGACAATTTTGGTCATTTATTTTAATCCCTTATTTCAACTTTTTAATTTTTTTATTATGTTCAGTTCGCCATTAGCCAGCATATAGTACATCATAAGTTTTTGATGTAGTGTTCAACAATTCATTAGTTGCATATAACACCCAGTGCTCATCACAACATGTGCTCTCCTTAATACCCATCACCCAGATACCCCACCCCCCATCCCCCTCCCTTCTGTAACCCTCAGTTAGGTTCCCGGAGTCCAGAGTCTCTCATGGTTTGTCTCCCTCTGATTTCTTCCCATTCAGTTTTCCTTCCCTTCCGCTATGGTCCTCCATGCTATTCCTTACGTTCCACATATGAGTGAAGCCATATGATAACTGTCTTTCTCTGCTTGACTTATTTCACTTAGCTTAATCTCCTCCAGTTCCATCCATGTCGATGCAAATGGTGGATATTCATCCTTTCTGATGGCTGACTAATCCTCCCTTGTATATATGGACCACATCTTCTTTATCCATTCATCTGTTGAAGGGCATCTCGGCTCCTTGGCTATTGTGGACATTGCTGATATGGACATTGAGGTGCAGGTGCCCCTTTTCGCTATGTCTGTATCTTTGGGGTAAATACCTAGTAGTGTTTCTTTATTTAAAAAAACTGACACTAATTATTCACAGAGGTCAGGAATTTACCCAAGATTTTACACCATGGCTTGTCCAGGAACCGTTCTGTTGAGGATAATAGCATTAATTTCTCTGTTTGTTGACAGCATGCAGCTCAGTGCTCTTGGTTTGTCCTCATTTTGGCCCCTCAGTGGACTCCTGGGTGCTCACCTGCCCTGACCTAGGTGGACTGTGAGTGCTCACCTGTGACAGGACTGTTGCCACTGTCTTTGGAGACCCCCTTTCCTCCTGCGTTAATAGCTCCTCTGTGGTCCTCATCTCAGGCAGGTGCCATAGCTCCTGGTCACTTGTAAGTGTCGATGGCCCCGTCAGCACATGCGTCCTCTGAATCGAGAGTTGTCCCTGGGGATTCGTGTTGGGGTCACATCTGTAGCTGTGGCCTGTGCCGCTCCGTGTGGCCCGTGTTGCTCTGTGTGGCCCTGGGGCTGCCTCTACCTGGGCCAGGTTTGGAGCAGGTTCCCTGAGGCTGCACAGCTGAGGAGGTGCTGGGGCTGCTCACAGCCTGGCCAGACACGGGCACTGGTGTGTCCGGAGACACCGGCACTGACGCGTCTGGAGTGGCCGGAGGGACTTGGTACCAGCAGCTCAGCACTCAGACAGCAGGGGCAATGGGCATTTCTGGAGAATGACATTGCATTTATTCTTTTCCTTCATAGTGTGCATTTTAATAGAAAACTTGTCCCTTTCCAAGATGCCTTTTAGAGGTGACGTCATAATTGGTAAGTGCTTTTCTTCTTCTTTGTAGACTCACACTGTAGCATTTCCTCCCAGAACTATTTCAAATTAAAAAGAAAATGAACCAGCTAGGATAGATGATAACCCGTTGTAAATAATGAGCATCCCCCCCACTCTCCTCCTCAGAAAGAGAGAGAATCTTTCCCTTGTCTAATGAGAGGTCAGGCTCCTTCCTCAGAGCTCCTGGCTGCCACTCTGCCTGTGGCACCTGCCCCCAGTGCCGGGCAGTCTTGGCTGTCCCTTACCCCGACAGATGCATGGTGCAGACCTGCAGGACCCGGGGTGCAGGCAGGATGTGTGAGGGACAGCTCTTGTCGAGCAGTGGCCAGGCCCTTCTGCAGGCCTCGAGCCCTCCACCTTCTATGGCACGTGGCCACAGAGAGGCAGTAAGAAAGGGGCCTTGGGGTCACCTTTATCCCCTGGCTGACTTTATTCTTTGCTTTTGCAGCCTCAAGTTCTGGGACCAGGAGACCAAAAAAAAAAAAGAATTGGATAAATTTAGCATTCTATGCTCAGTGTGGGATCTAATTGAGTTAAATATTTAGGTTTTTATGGGTGGGAGCCCAGGGACATTGTTTGAGGAGAGGTGCTTCCAGAAGTGGCGCCCTGAAGCTTGCAGTGTTAAAAGAGCAAAAATTTCTCGCGGTAACAGTTTGACATTTCAGTAGCCAAAAGAAGGCTTTCTCTCCGAATGGAGAGGGCCCTTGGATTTTTGTATAACCTGCGTAACGTTTACTTTAGATTTTCTCCAGATTCATCTCTAAGGTTACCAACTTTGAGAGGTAGAAGATCTATTGTTTTTAATTTCATCTACATGTTCTTAATTGGGTAAATGAATGTCTTTTGTTCCTTTGACAGATGGTTGGCAGTGGCTGATAAATGACACACTGAGAAATCTCCATCTTATTTCAAGTCATTCTAGACAACAGATCAAGGTATGGTAAGCAAGATTTTTCTGGCTGTTGCATGTATAGAGAGTGACACTTGGGGCGCCTGGGTGGCTCACTTGGTTGAGCGTGCAACTCTTGATTTCAGCTCAGGTCATGATCTCAGGGTCTTGGGATCAAGACCCATGTTGGGCTTCGTACTCAGTGCAGAGTCTGCTTGAGATTCTTTCTTTCTCCCTCTCCCTCTGCCCTTTCCCTTGCTCATTCACGTGCTCTCTCTTTCTTTGAAATAAGTAAATAAAATCTAAAAAAAAGTGACATTAATCTTTTTTTTTTTAGTGTTTGTTTGAAAGGACTGTGTGCGTTTTGAGTCCCTTTTATACACGAATGTTGTGATCATTGATAAATGCCATAATTATATTTGGAATTCTAGATGGCACTATCTATGTAATTTATAATCAGAAAAACTAATGCAGTTTCTGGTTAAATTAGATTCAGCTTCTGAACATCTCTTCTGTATGTCCATAGTGATTGTTTATTCAGTTGGGGAGTTTTATGTCCTGTTGAGTTGCAGAATGGTGGGGTTGGAGACTCTGCCGTGACACTCAGGTGCAGGTGGGAGCCGCAGTCCAGGGTCCTTGCCTGAGAGTACTGGCTATCTTGAGCAAGGACAGAGTGTGTGTGTCCGGTGGCCGATGTGCTGTTGTCCTATCCTGGGACAGGTAACTTTGGCCTAGAGGAGCTGTGACAGGTCCTAGTGTGGGTGTCGATGGGCTTTGGTATTGAGGGTGGAGAAACGGAAGTCCGTGTTGGTTTCCCATATGATTAATTCTCCAGCCTCCTGCGTATGCTTTTTTTTTTAAAGGAACTTTATCGTTCTGTAGAATCCAAGTATAGTTTTACTAGTTGAATCTGAATGTTTCATGGTCAGGCCTCAAAATTTCCTTTTAAGAGCATTCTCTTAATTGATTCACACCAGCAGGGATTGTGGTAGTTTGCACAGGTGACATCTCGGTGTGATGCTGTGTTGTGTGGCCCCTCCCTGTGCAGCCTCCGGCACCTCTCTCCAGGGCTGCTCTGTTGGGCTCAGCAGCCTGATTTGGGGAAGCAGTGGAAAAAACATAGAAATCCAGCATTTGCCCTTTGCTGTCTGTCTGACCCTGAGAGGCTTACCTGGAGCTCAGTCTTCTCTTGGCAGTACAGGTGTTCTGGGGTGGCCCCGGGGGGCGCGGCTGCTGCCACATCAGCTCCCACTCTCCTCCCCCCGACCCTGGCCCCGCAACTTCCCCTCTAAGTGAGGCCTGTATGTTACTTCTGTGTGAACAACACACACTTTGCCCTTCGCCGATTCTGCTGGGAAAGAAAAACATGCCCCATTTTATAATTAACTTTTATTAGAAGACTTTGCATCAAATGGAAGAAATCATATTTTCCATTCAGATTATTAGTTGCAGAGAATATTGAAGTTATCTGACAGATAGCTGACGATGATCAACAGATGTGATGGAAAGGAGTATATGATCCAGTTTCTGTTTGTTTCAAATTTAATCACTGGCCTGACAGCAGAACGGCCCGACGGCGGGGCGCCCAGGAGGCTGCATGGCGCAATCACGTCCCGCTTTATTTCAGGGAGCGGCAGTCTTGGCCCTGGCTGCTCTCTGCAGCGAGTACTACGCCCTGGAGACTGGGGAGGCGGATCCTGCCAGGCAGGGTGAGTGGGCCGCGGGGCCTCCAGCAGGAAGTGGGGGTGCAGGGTATGGGTTTCAGCGCACCGCCTCCTGCTGTGAGTGGACAGGCTGTGGGAGGGAGGGGCCCCAGCTGGGCGTTGGGCGGAGACGGGGACGGGGGAAGGGGGCACAGAGGCCTGCTGCTCTCGGATCTGCCAGGTTCCTGCAGCTGCCGCAGGTGTTCATCCCTCTTTGGCTGTAGACAGGTGCAGCCCTGGCGTGTTGGCACTCCCCCGAACGGGCGAGAACAAGCACGATGCTCACCATGCAGAGCCCTTGCTGATGTCAGCAGTGTCTGCCTGAATTACGTTTTCCAGTAAATTCCCCCACTTTGTGCTTTGGAGGTTCCCACTGTACGTGGTTGGAACCCCTTCCTTCTCTGGCCTCCGAGGGAGCCTCCTGTTTCCTGTTCCATTTTTTGTTCCTGTATTTCCCTTGGTGTTTGTTCCTTGGCTCCTTCCTCTTCTTTCTGGTCCTCGATGGCCGGGGTTCTGTCGGCTCAGAGGGGGTCTGCCTCTGCTGTCCTAGCACATCCTGATTCCCTGTCCCTGATTGCTTCGGTGACTTTTTTATGGCAAATGTGGTTTTAGGGTTTCCATATGCACCGTGCCACAGTTTCCTGGTGCAGGTCCTTGGCACGTGCGTGCACTTTGCCCTTTCCCTGTTCACAGAAGCCTCGCCGCATAGCATTGCCTCAGTTGGGTTTTCCAGAACCCCCTCCTGTGGTTCATCTGACCCTTGACAGGTCTTCATGGAGAAGCTTCGTGTCCACCCACTGTGGTGCCCTGTAGCGTTCTCTTGCCTGACAGTCACTTCAGAAGCATATGAAACGCTTTTAAATTATTTTAAATGGTAAAAATCGTGTGATTTTTTTTTAAATAAAATATTCTGTAACGTGATCTTCTGACAGACTTTCCAAATTTATGAAGTTTTTCCCTTGACCATAGGCAGTGTTACATTTGCATTTAGTCTGTTTTTAAAAATTGGGATGATAAGGTCACGTTTCACTTTGTGCCTGAGAAGAGAGTATGGCGTCGCTGTGCATGCGGGAAGAGTGAGCAGTGTTCTGGAGTCCCCGTCAGTGTGTGGAGACCCCAACCAATGGCCACGTCAGGAGTGCACAGGTGTTTCGGTGTTCCTTTGCTGTCCTCGCGTAGGCCCTTGAGGTTTCCGTGCACACGTTGCCACGGTTGTGCTTTGTTGACATCTAAGCAGTAAGGACAAGAATCGGTCACGATGGTTGGACAGGTCGGGGTGTGCAGCCTCCTGGCCCCTCCCGAGCTGTGTTGGTTGAGGACAGCCTGGCAGCCCCACTGCCCTTCCCGCCCTGACTGCCCCTTGAGTCTGCCCTGCACCCTCTGTTCCCGTCCCTGTTTCATCCCTGACGATGGCCTTCCCGTCTCGGGGAGCGTCTCTCTGTGCGCAGTGTGCTCTCAGCCCGACTGGCAGCTTCTGCCCCTTCGTGCTCACCCTGGGAGGGCATCCCGTCCACTGCGCTCCTTTGTGTTCCTGGTGACTAGGACCACATCATGCATTCTTAACCCCTCCTGGATTTATTCTCCTAAGAGTGAAATCGTGTATTAAAATTGCCTATGAAAACCTCAAACCCACCTAATAAAAATTCTTAAAATGTTTTGATCAGAGCCACTTCTAAGATACATCTGCTTCAGAAGCCGGCATGCTTCCTCCCTCTCTCTCGCTGCCTACTCACGCATTTCTGAGATGTCATAAGGAGAGCGTGTTGTGCGGGAAGGGAGGCAGCTGCCCTTTTGTCGTTGCCTTTCAGATGAGCTGATACGGCAGTATCTCGCTGACCTGCAGAGCCCAGAGGAGATGGCTCGCTGTGGCTTCTCGCTGGCCCTGGGTGCCCTCCCGCGCTTCCTCCTGAAAGGCAGGCTGCAGCAGGTGAGGCGCTCCGCACCCTGAAGAAATGGCCTGTTGGGTCTGGGCGTTGCGTGTGAGCCCAGTGGGGGAGGGTTTGGAGGGTCAGACCACGAATTTACGCCCGTCCAGGTGTGTGGCCATGAGGAAGGGAACGGGGTGCTCTTGAGGGTGCCGGGTGGACACTGTCGTGTGATGGGGGGACTTGGAGGGGCTGAGTTCTAGTCTGACAGAGGGAAGCTCTTGCTGCCTCTGTGGAAACATGCTCCTGCCTTGAGACAGCCGTGCTGTGTTCCCCTCCTCCTGCGCACGTCGTCTTGGGGTCTGAGGCACTGGACAGACTGCCTAAAACTCAATTCTGCAGCTTAGCCTTTTGGAACATAGGACTCTCAGGACCGAATGGCCCTTTAAGAAGTAGTGGATTGAGATCTCAGGAGTCGGCTGATCATTTGTCACAATTCCCAGCTGTGGGCCACAGGACAGTAAGGGGGCAGTTGGCGTTGGGGATGCCCCACAGAGGTGACCGAGGGCAGCAGGTGCCCCCTCCATGTGTCCTCCAGGCTGCAGCAGGGCATGTGGCCTGCCAGGTGCACGTTCTGTTGAGGACGCCTTACTGCCTTTCAGGTGCTGGCAGGCCTGGGAGCCGTGACTGTCATCCGTCCTGAGGACGTGAGCTTTGCCGAGTCCAGGCGGGATGCTTTGAAGGCCATCTCAAGGTGAGTCTCCTCTGGGCTGTTCCCCCAGTCCTTGCTCTCCCGGGGGCCAGTGACCAAACGCTGAGGTGGTCCCTGTCGCTGTGAGCCAGAGCCCAGTCTCACATGAATCTACTTTGAAGCAGCAGTGTAACTTTTTATTTTCTCATTTCTTCTCTTTTCAGAGGGTTGTCAAAGAATATTTCCAACTCAGAGGCTCATTGACACTGTATTCATTGTCGCTATAGTGAATATTAGACTTCTTTGTTTTAGGAACAGCAACCCACCTCAAGAACTGGGGCATGAACCTTAGCTCAAGTCTGGAAGTGCCATGTGGTGCTGGCCACACACAGCATGCACAATAGGACACGCTTTCCTTTCTCTGTCCCCCACCTGTGTCCCTCTTCTGCTGTACGGTGGCACCACCCCTTTCTGCCAGGACGGAGGTGGGAGGGGCCAGCACAGGTGGCCTCCTGCACACCTTTTAAGCTGCAGACACTAGGAAGTGTGATTTTGGGGAAAAGTGTCATTCAGTGTATGTCAGCATGGAAGGAACTCTGGAATTCCGACTTACCTCGGAGGTTGTTGGCCAATCTTGGCGTATCCTGTCAGGCCAAGATGATGGGAAAGATGGGGTTCACAGACACTTGCCATATTTCACGCATTTTTAATAATTTCAGGGTTTGCCAGACGGTTGGCGTGAGAGCAGGAGGGGCCCCAGACGAGGTTGTGTGTGAAGAGAACGTCTCCCAGATTTACCGCACCCTCCTGGACTGTCTGCATGACTACACCACTGACAGCCGTGGGGACGTGGGCGCATGGTAAGGTGGCAGGTGGTCTCTTGCTCACGGTCCTTGAGTTGCGATGACCCACCGGGCCTGTGTTCTCAGGACAGCAGAGCATCCTTGGGCCTAGCTCATGGTTGTGTTCCACTCTTCTCTGAAAAATACTAAATTCTAAAGCACAGACACTTGCCACTCCCTCGTGCCAGCCCCCATGGTTGGCTTTCCAGTTCTTCTGAGAACGTTCAAGCAAACAAAGGCCCTGATTGGCCATTTAGGGCAAGAAGGGGGTCAGACCTCTTTGGAGGAGGAGGAGATGGGTACTTCTCTGGGGATTCAGTTGCGCAGTGAACCGTGGCCCCTTCTGATGGGAAACCAGGTACCCACATCTCAGGCTTGGGAGAAACCTTGGCTTGACTGTTCTTGCAAGGATGCCCCCAGAAAACTTGTGGCCCAAGCCGAGAGGAGGCTGTGCCCATGGCGCGAGGTTTGCTTTGTGTGTCATTTCTTTGTTCTCACGTTGGCAGCTGTCGTCTTTCCAAGATTTCAGTTTACTGTAAATAGCAAACCAAGTTACCCTTTCATTGGAGGAGCTGAGAGCTTACCCTTAGGACTTCTGTCTCTCGTTCTGGACACGCTGTGATGGGCGTTGTGCCGAGAGGCTGCGTGGGGTAAGGTGTCACTGACATTGGGCGGAATCGTTCTCTTATTACAATGGAAACAGAAGTTGAGCTTTATGTGAAGCCTTGAAAGAGAAGAAAGAAATGCACGTTTTTTCCATATGTGGCAAGTTTTTGGCCACTTTATTTAAATCTCCCCTGCCCCACCTCATCCTGGACACCCTGTCCCGCCGTGGGCCCCATTCCTGCCCGTAAGCCCTGGGGCTCTACTCATTTCTTCTTCAGTTTTTTTTTTTTTCTCTTCTTCAGTTGTGTAAATTCTAATTTACATTCACATTCACTGGCTCTTCCCTGTGTTACCTGTGCCATCAAGGTCGCCTGAGAGGGCTCTAATTTTGTTATCGTTCCATTACAGTTCCCGTCTGGGGCTTTTCCCCACTTTCTGTGTCTGCTGGCCTTCCCTGCCTTTTCCTCCGTCAGGATGTTCCCTCACCTTACTGGTTTGCTTTCCTTCCCTTCTGCTCAGTCCCAGGTGGTGTTGGGGACACGGCCGCGTGGGGCCCTGATGGCTTTGGCGTGCCCTTGTAGATGCAGGCAGGGCTCCTCGGTGGGAGCCTGGGGCGCCCCTGTGTCCTTGGGGAGTCCGCCCTGACAGCTGCCTGGTGGCCCTACAACAGCACAGCCCCGACCCCTGTGCTTCCCTATCCCTGTAGGACGCGGGCTGCGGGAGCTGCACTGATCGGGATCTGTGTCAGTCGGTGATGATGGTCAGACCTCACCCCGGGCTCCGTTGTGTGCCCTGGAGAGCGGGTCGTTCTTCTTGGTTCTTTGTGGGGCATGTGGCTTTGGAGCGGATCCTGGCTCCGGGAGGTTTGCTGTGGGGATGGGTTCCCTCACTCCTCCGGAGGGTGCTGATGGCTTTCCAGTGGCCAGTGCGCTTGGTTTGAATACAGAACTGCGGTCTCCACCTCATCTGATGTGGGTGGCCACCCACGTCCTGTTTGGCGGGCAGCCCTTCCGTGGGGGGGTGGGGTCCCCCTCTGGGGCCCAGCCCTGCAAGGCGCGCCCGGTGCTCTCGGGGGCCCGGGTTGTCCCAGCTCCTTACAGTTCCAGCCAGAAGGACGGTGGGTTTTCCTGGGTCCTTCAGCAGCACAGACACTGAACCCTGTGAGGAGGAAGCTCGGGTGCTGGTGCCAGTGTTCCTCCCGAAGGCCTGTGCGGTGCGGGTGTGGGAGCCCAGCGATGTTTGGTCCTTTTCAGAAGATTCTCGCTCTCCTTAGAAAGTCTCCAGTTATTTATTTTTCCACCTGTTTTCTGTCAGCATGTTGTTTAAAGACTCTGCCTGTTTGTTCTGGGATCTGTGGCAACCCTGTGTCTGCCTCTGTTCTCTCCTGGTATTTTAACACTTGGTCTTTTATTTTTTTTAGTTTTATTTGTTTTTATTTTTATTTTTTTTAAAGATTTTATTTGTTTATTTGACAGAGAGAGAGACAGCGAGAGAGGGAACACAAGCAGGGGGAGTGGGAGAGGGAGAAGCAGGCTTCCCGCGGAGCAGGGAGCCCGATGCGGGGCTCGATCCCAGGACCCCGGGATCATGACCTGAGCCAAAGGCAGACGCTTAACGACTGAGCCCCCCAGGCGCCATTTTTTTTTTTTTTAAGCATTCCTTGTAGCGCTAACTAAACCCAGAAAGTGTACACTCAGAATCGCGGAGGCTTTGGGTGTGCACACGCTTGCAGGGAGCATGAAGGTCAGGCCTGTGGTGTGGGTGCGGGTCGCCTGATGCCCTGTGTGTGGGGTCGGACCGTGTGCCACCTGTAAGGAGCTGGGGAGGCCCCGAGGGTGTGTGTGCAGGCTTGGGGTTGTCCTCTGTGCGTACTCTTCCCCCACCTCTCCTGTGAGTGCTGTACCCACAGACACTGGGGGGTCCACAGGGCCCTGCCGTCCTCCCGTCTTCCACACCCTGCCCAGCCTGGCGCCTGCGGATGGGCAGGCATATGTCTCAGGGCCTGAGCGGCATCTGGTTGGCAGCCATGCCCTGGGGACAGCCTGCCCCGCTCCCGTGAACCCCGGCCCATGTCTGTCTCGTGCCTCCAGCACCCCCACACCTGTGCTCAGTGCTTCACCGGCCGGGCTCCTGTGGGCCGGGGCCTCCGTCTGTCTGTCGGTGGCAGGGCTGATGGCTGGCCTGCAGGACCTGCCGGCCTTGGTGGTGCGGGGTGGGTCTGTGGTCCCTGCTGCGTCCATACCGGGGACTGTGTCTCCAGTCTGAAGTGCTGCTTTCACCCTGGTTTGGCCAGTCATGGTGTGGGCTCAGGTTTTCATGTTGTGGAAGCTTCGTTTTCTTCAGTGTGAGCGAATGTGGAGTGAGTCTGTTGGAGCGGAGAGTGACGTCCTGATCTGGAAGGGTGGTGGCAGTGGCAGACGTGAGCTGATCTGTATGCATCTGTCCCTCAGTTTCTCTGCCAGGAGAAGGCTTTGTAGACCAGGCTGCACTGCATTTGGAGGTTTTGTGGCCACCTCAGTGCTGTTTGTGTGCACTTGGGACCTGGCATCTGCCTTCGGGTGTCAGACATGCATCCTTGCTGACAGAGCGCAGGAGAAAGTGCTCTTACTAGCTGCGAGTACTGCGTTTGGTGGGCCTTTCCTACTGAAGTGACGGTCAGTCTCTGGAACTCGCCCTGGTTGAAGGTGTCTGAGCCTCCTGAGTGTGGCTGGCGGTTCACATGGCACCTGGGGCTCTTCATCACCTCCTTGTCCCTGCAGGGTCCGTGAGGCCGCCATGACCAGTCTGATGGACCTGACACTCCTGCTGGGGAGGGAGCAGCCAGAGCTGATCGAGGCCAGCGTGTGAGTGCCTCCTGTGCGGGGGTCTGGCCCGGTCTGTCGGAGGACACCAGCACTGGGGGCGAGGCCGGGGTCTCTGTGTCCAGTCTGCTCTTGCTGCCAGGGCCTCCCTTCCCTCCCTCCTGCCTTCAGCTCCTTCCTGTGTCCCCTTCCCCCCATCACCCAGGCCACCCCATCTGTCTGCACTGCTTCCACCCAAGACCTGGTGCTCAGGCCTCTGAGGGCTCAGGTTCACTGTGGCTGCGTCCTGTCCCCACTGCGGCTGGAGTGGATGCCATGATCGCGGGGCCACTCTGGCTGGTGCCCTGGGTTCAAGCTGGGCTAACGGCCTCGCTCTTGTTTTGTAGCTGTCAGCAGGTCATGTGTTGTGTAGCCCAGCAGGCGAGTGAGAAGATTGACCGGATCCGTGCGCACGCCGCCCGCGTGTTCATGGCTCTGCTGCACCCTCACGGCTCTCCTGTCCCGCACGTGCCCCACCGAGGAGAGCTGGAAAAGCTCTTCCCCAGGTACGGGAGGCCGGGGTCCCCGACCCCCAGCGGGCGCGGGCCCCCCTCCAGCTTGTTGGCTCATTCTCTGCAGATCCGATGTGGCCTCCGTGAACTGGAATGCGCCGTCCCAGGCCTTCCCTCGCATCACCCAGCTCCTGGGGCTGCCCACCTACCGCTACCACGTCCTGCTGGGGCTGGCTGTGTCCGTGGGTGGCTTGACCGAGTCGACGGTGAGGAGGCCTCTTCCCAGGCTCACGGTGGGGGGTGGCACCTGGCCCAGGGCTGGGGCGGTGTGGGAGGTCTGAGTGGGCCGGGTGCTGTCAGTGGCAGCCAGAGGCTGAGAGGCACACGCTGGGAGGGCAGCTTGGTCCTCGTTGTGCTGGTCTTTTCTCTGCTTTGGGGGTCAAAGTGGGGTCAAGGGTCCGCCCCTTCCCTTGGCCTTGGGTGTCCAGGGCAGGACACCCAAGGACAGTGTTAACCTCTCCTGAGAGTGGGCTGGCGTTCCCAGTGGGAAGCTCAGTGGCAGGACTGTTTAGGAGAACCTGCAGCACACAGAGCTACGAGGAAAGTTGTGGTGAGCTTCTGTGTGGACGGTGTCCCGCCGCACACGGCACGGGGCAGCCTGGTTCTCCTGTGAGCGCTGGGCTCGGCAGCCCTTGGACCTCACACCTGCCCGCTGCTGCTTCACCCTGTTTGCTTCTCTTTCCTCCTCTTTGTGCCGTCATTTTCGGGATAAGTCTGGTCTGTTTTCTCGTGTCCTTTCTGCTGGCGTGGCGGTCACACATCCTTTCCCCTTGGACCTGGGAGCAGTGTCGTGTGCACCCAACTTTGGAGCCGTTGGGGGGTGTCCTGCTCCCCTGCGCGGTCACACGTGGGTTTTCGTGGGGACGGCGAATGCGTTTTCACTCACCTGCCTGTGCTCTCGGGTGCCGATGTCGCCAGAGCAAGAGCCCTGTCTGGTGGGGCCGCTGCTCCTGGTTCGGCTGTGGGGACGCCCCCCTCAGCCCTCGCCTGGTGCTCGGCAGCTCCCCTCTGACGCTGCAGGCTGTGACCTGCTGGGATTTGTGGTCTGCGTCCTCTTTTGGAAACTTCTCTGCCCCCCTCATTCTCGTTCAGGATCTCCTCCTCCCGCATACCCCTTATGATCCCCACGTGTCCGCCTCTGCTCCGTCCTCCCTGGTTTTCCGTTTTCTTTTCCAGGTACTATTTTGTTTTGCAGCTTTGTACAATCTGCTGTTTATTCCCTCCCCCTGCTGAATTTTTTGGTTTCCATAATTCTGTTTTTTATTACCAGACGTTCACTTTGTTTTGAAATCTTTCTTGTGCTTTTTCATTGCAGGCTCATCTGGGTTTTGTTTTCTGTGTTTTTTGTTTGTTTTTAAGAGAGCACTTGGGGGGGAGGGGCAGAGGGAGAGAGAATCTGAAGCAGACTTCCCACTGAGTGCAGAGCCTGACGATCTCACGACCCTGAGATCATGACCTGAGCCGAAATCAAGAGGCTGATGTTCAACCGACTGCACCACCCGGGCGCCCTGCAGGCTCATCGTTGTCGTCGCGTTTTCCCCAGGAATTTGCCTACGGTGCTCTCCTGTGGGCCGTGCCTTGTAACTCTCCTGCCTGTGCTCTCGGCTGGGAGGGGTCTGCGTCGGCTCCCGTCCTCTCGTGGACTCATTCCTGGTCACTCCCCGTCCTGGGTCTGTGGCACGGAGGCCGGCGACTCTGGTCTGGGCCCTGCAGGCAGCTGTGGCAGCGGGTTTCTTCGGTGCCCCCCCAGCTGCTGGAGTCCTGCTGCCCCCACCGCCAGCTATGTCTGCGTCCATGCGGTCACTTCCCCGGTCACTGTGTCGATTCCTTCTGCTCCTCCGTTGGGGTCTATGGGGAGGGTCTCTGAGCCCAGCAGTGCCTTGGGGGCTACAGGTTGAGTTTGGAATGGAAGTTGTCAGAGCAACTGATCCCCTGACTTGCTTGGGGAGACTGCAGCCTCCACTGAGGTCAACTTAGGGGTCGTTGCGGTGTTCGGTCTGCACTGCTGCCCCAGGAGCAGCATTTCTGGGTCAGTGCTCCTTCCATGTCTCTGTGCTCGTGCCCCATCTGGCGGGACGTTGCCAAGATCCCCACGCTGTGTTGGTCTTTCTCCTCAGCTCCATCGTGGATGTTGGAGCGGAACCATCGCGGTGCACTCTGGGGCAGGTGGCAAGGGGGTGGTGGTCTTGTTGCCGTTACGAGTGCATCTCTGTGTTGCAGGTTAGGTACTCGACGCAGAGCCTCTTTGAGTACATGAAGGGGATTCACAATGACCCGCAGGCCCTGGAGGGCTTCGGGGGGACCCTCCTGCAGGTCTTCGAGGACAACCTTCTGAATGACAGGTAAGGGGTGGTGCCTTCGTCACGGTTTTCAGACCCCCGCGGTCTCACTTGTACTCACCGGGATTTGCGAGGGGGCGGTGAGGTAGCCTAGGCGGGGACCTGACTGCAGCCAGGCCAGGGAGGGCCCACGGCTCACGGTGCCCTGCCAGCCACATCACCGTTGTGGAGCTGCCACCAGCCTGCACCGTGGGCCAGCCAAATTAGGACTTTAAAGATGACCGAGGCTCTGAGCCTTGGAGGGTACACGTGGCTGTTCCCCGAGGTGATGTCTCCTTGGTCTGTGCGTGGACATACCCACTGTGTGTCGAGATCTCTGCAGGGTTAGAATGTCGCAGCAAGAAATAGGACTTGTTTCCTGAGCATCTTTGCTGTATATTGTTTTTGGTAACTGCTTTTCCATTGAAGGCAGTGTGTACACCCCTTGGGCCCTGACCTTGGAATTGGGGGTGTTTCCCAAAGTCCTCTGAGAGGGTTGTTCTTGGACTTGGTTCTCAACTGTCCTGGGTAGCCGGGCCCCGGTCACAATAGCGTGGATGCAGGCCCTTGTTGGCCTGTCCTGTCTGTGGGAAGCAAATGGGAGCTCCACCAATGGTCTTTTCTCTTTTCCTGGATAGCACTGAGTGTGAGTAAAGGGTGCAGTTCGGTAGACTTTGACTCTGTTGACATCCCTGTAACTGTCACCAGTCACCCCTTCCAGCGCCCAGCACTAGGCAACCACTCTCGCTGATCTGCTTTCTGTCACTGGGGTTCAGTGGGCATTTCCTACGAGTGTATTTCAGTGGAATCTGCAGTGTGCCTGGCTTCCATTGTGCGGTCAGACCACACTTGGTTCCTCTGTTGATAGTCGCCAGGGTTGTTTGTGGCCGGAGTTAAAAAGAAAGCTGCAGGGGACATTCGCAGACATGTCTGTGTGGACATGTCCCCACTTTGCTCCTGGGTTGGTGCTGAGGAGCAGGCTAGCTGGGTTGCATGTGGCAGGTGGATGTTCAACTTCTAAAAAACTGCCACACTGTTTTGCAAAACGGTCACACAGTTTTATACCCTTCTGGGGCGTCTTGAGGGTCCAGGCGCGGTCTGTGTGTTCTGACCACTGTGGCCTGTCCTTGTGGCTTCGGGGCTTCCCTCCTGCCTGGCGTGGATTTCCTCCCCAATGAGGGTCTGTTCAGACCTCCCGCCTATTTTTTAGTTGGGTAGTCGTGGTTTCCCCTCCTGAGTTTTGAGATTTCTTGCGTGAGCTGCACAAACCCTTTGTCAGACAGTGGCCTGCAGACACCCCCTTCCAGGTGGTGACCTGTCCTTCACGCCCTTGGCGGACTCTGAGCGGGCGCTTCCATGTGCACGTGCTCCGGCTCCTCCCCTTGGGTTTTACAGGTGTGTTTGTTGTGTCAGAGCGAAGAGTCTTGGCCTGACTGAAGGTCACCAAGGTTTTCCCTTGACGTTTTCTAGAAGATCTGTAGTGTTAGGTTTTATATTTAGACCTAAGGTCAGTTTTGGGTTATTTTCGGTGTGACACGAATGACAGATCCATATGTGTGTGTTGTTTCTGCATGTGGGTGTCCAGTGTGTTGAAATCTGTCCCTTCCACAGTGTTGCTTTTCCACTTTTTCATCAGTTTTGGATATGTAAGCTCATTTCTGGGTTTCTCTGCTCCTTGGTCTGTGCTCCCTTGGGCTTTGTGGCTGAAATTAAGTGGTGCGGCTCACTCTTGCGTCCCTTAGCTGTTTGGCTTTTTTTGATCCTTAGTGTTTCCATGTGTATTGTACAATAGGATTGTCATTTTCTACACAATGTCTTGTCCGGATTTGGTTTGGGACAGTGTTGACTCCGGGGGAGTCCGCATCTTAGTGGTTCCGGGGTTGACGCCTGGGGCCTCAGCATTTGCCTTCCCCCCTCAGGGTGTCTGTGCCGCTGCTGAAGACGCTGGACCAGATGCTGGCCAATGGGTGCTTCGACCTCTTCACCGCAGAGCAGGAGTAAGTGTGCCCCGCTTGGTGCCCCTCTGCCGGGCAAGCCTCACAGCTCGCCTCATAGAGACAGAGCGAGGAGAAGCAGAGGTGAGAATCTAGAAGGTGATTTCCAGCACGTTCAGGTCTGTTCCGTGCCAGCAAGAGGCTTTGGCTGCCCCTAGTGAGGTTGGGGCTGCGCCTCCGGCCAGGCTCCTGCTGTGGCCCCTGCCACTCAGGTGGGAAAAAACCCAAGCAGGTGAGGTAACCCCCCGCCCCCCCGACCAGAGGGGGCCTGGCAGTCAGGGTGGTCATGGGCAGTGGACCAGGGTGGAGATGGGCAGTGCAGAGCATCTCGACTGTCACAGGAGGACCGAGTGGGGCTGTGTGGGCACAGAGGGTGGGTGTGTGCAGGGACACGGACACACGGCAGCCCCGAGTCTGCTCCTGGCCAGTGAGCTCTGGTGTGTGGGCTCACCGTGGCTGGTTTATCTTGTCAGGAGCCTGAGGACTTTCCCTGGATCCCAGACCTTGAAGGCTTTGCCCCTGGGCTGGGCATCTTATGCCCTGGTGGGGGGTGCTGGAGCTTCCTTCTGGGCACGTTTCAGGGACTTGGGAAGAGCTGTGCCAGGTGGGCCCCGACTGGTGTTTTCCCACGTTAATTGTCTCCCACTCTGTCCCGCCGCCCCGGGCCCCGCCCTGAATCTGGGGTCATGCTTTTCTGTCTAAAGAACATCCTTTTGAAGTTCCTCTAGTGATGTCCACTGGCAGTAGATGTTTTCTGATTTTATTTGCAAGTTACATTCCGAGGCTGTAGAATTCTAGGCAGACGTTCTATTTCGGGACCTAAACATCTTCTTTTCCTGACTTCTGCTGCTTTTGAGACGGTGCCCGTAAGTCTGGAGTCTCAGGCGGTCTGGGTTTTCTCCTGCCTCCTTTGAAGATTTTCTCTTTGAGAAATCTCAACATTTCTACCACTTGAATGGGTCTAGTTTTGATTATATACTCCTCTGTTCTACCAGGCATTTGTTAAACTTGAAGATGTGGCTTTGTTTTCATTTGTTCTAGAAAATTCTTGGCCCCCCTTGCCCTCCCCCCCCACTCCATGGCCCTCCCCTGAGGCCGTGCTGCCTCCCACATTTCCCCCTGTGCTTCAGCACTTCTGACCTGTCCTCCACCTCCCGATCCACTGCCAAATTCACAGGTGGTGGTCTTATTTTTGGTTTTTGTAAGATGCAGCTTTTCCTTTGGTTTGTCTTACAGCCTGACAGCCTTTTGCCCTCCTGGATACAGTGCTAGGTCTTCCTGCGCGCTTCTGGTCTCTGTCCTTGTGGGGGTGTCTGGTTCCTACAGCCCACGTGGTGGGCTTTCTCATTTGTCTCCATATTCGTTGTCTGGATGCTGCATTTGAGAAATTGCGTGTGCAGGTGACCTGAGGCCGCAGATGAGCTGGGCGGTAGGACCTTTGTTTGCCCTTTCCGGGCACTGTGGGCAGGTGGTAGCAATCTGGACCTCTCAGACCCACATCTGCTTGGGGGTCTCTGGACTGCCTGCAAGAGGTGCTCTCTCCCCCCTGGGGGCAGCCTTCCAGGTCTGTCAGGTGCATACCTTTGTCAGGACCAAGCTTTGGGTCTTGTTGTGGCTGGAGGCTAGGGACAGCATGCTCGGGTCCTCTGGTAGTCGGGACACCCTTGTTCAGAGGCACCCCTGGTGCTAGCCTCACCTCTGGGAGTGGAGGCGGTGACATTCCACCTGCTGCATGGAGAAGGGCCTTGGGGTCCAGGCAGGGAGAAGTGGCAGTGGAGACTCTGGGCGCGTGGGCTCTCAGTGCAGGTAGCTGTAAGCCAGCAGACCCACTAGGGCCCAGACGTGGGTGTAGGGGAGCAGACTGCAGCTAGGGGGGTTGTCTCTTGGACAGGAGAGCCAGTGTGGCAGGCGTGGGCCAGATGCTGTCCAGCTCAGGTTCTGCAAGAAATACCACAGGGCAGAGCAGAGCAGAGCAGCTCCCACAGCAGAACTTAGTCCACACGGTTCTGAAGGCAGGAGGTCCGGGGCCAGGTGCCAGCGATTCAGGCCCTGGTTTGCACCGGACAGACGGAGATTCACCTCACGTGTCTCTTCTCTTGACGACACCCATGCCCTCGTGGGGACTCGGTCTCATGACCTAATTGCCTCTGTGGCCCTACTGGTAATATCTTCATGTTGAGGATCAGGGCTTCAACATGCAAATTTTGGGGACACAAATGTTCAGTCCGTAGCATAAATGTTTGGTCTGAGATGTTCATTAGATTCCAGAGGAGTTGGATCTTCAAGGCTGGAACCCAGTGGAAAGTCCTCAGAGGGTGTGGGCGGGGGGGGCGTATGAATCCGAATGAGGTGTATGAGGTCAGCAAGGGAGCGGGTGTAGACCAAGGCCCCAGTGGAGCTGTGGGGTGTCCTGTTGTTAGGGGGACAGGGAGCAGAGCCACTGGGAAGTAGGCCGAGCTGGAAGAGCATGTCACAGTAGGTCATCAGTGGTGTGAGCCACGTGGTCACGTAGGTGGAGGACGTGTTGGTCACTCGGTCCCCAACAAGCGTGTCAGTGAGCTGTGGGGAGACAGCTGCAGAGGGGAGGGGGCTGGAGGTGCATACCCACAGCTCTGGGTGACAGGGGCCTGGAGGAGGTGGGCGGGGGCGCCAGCAGGTGGAGAGAGACCAAGGGCCACTTTCCCTGAGGACAAGGAAGAGGGAGCGGGGGCAGTGGAACCCCCAGCAGTGGCTTGGAGAGGAGGACCGTGTCTGTGTTGTTGGGAGCCTTGCTGGCCTGGCCCCACGTCTTCCTCAGCTCTGCAGAGTAGAGGGGGACGTGTGTCCATGCTCCGGCCACTCCTGGGTTCTCCTTGTACCCAGGAGCTGGGCCTGGTTACAAGCTGGTCATCCCTTCCTTTGATCCCAGGCTGAGCCTGCACTTGCTGGACTTACCGGGGACGGGTTGTCTGGGTGCCCCTCTGGTTGGTGAGGGTGGGGAGGTGCATGCCGGGGACAGGCACTGGCAAAGGAGCCAGTTAATGTGGCTGTGTGGTACCCCTGGGGGACAAGGCCCTCTGATCATCTGGTGGCAGTGCCGTCACCGGATGCCACAGCATGTCCGGGCGGCACCTGCTCACTGAAAGCTCATCTCTGGCATCGTGTGCTTCCCTTTTAGCCACCCCTTCAGTGTGAAGCTGCTTGCGCTTTGTAAGGAGGAAATCAAGAAGTCCAAGGACGTGCAGAAACTGCGGTCTAGCGTCGCGGTGTAAGTTCCGAGTTCCTCGCTGTGATGGTAAAAGGAAGGGCGGTCGGGAGGGAGAGACTCGGACTTCATCTTCGTCTCAGTGTGTCTGGAGTTGGTGCTCTGACGTCTGTGGAGAACAGCCTGAGTCTGTCGCAGGGGTCAGTCCTGACGGCCTCCTGGGAGGGGCTGTGCCTCGTTTTGGGGAGCGTCCTCACACGAGGCAGGTTTTCACAGAAGCAGACCCGGTTCCCCCACCGAGGCTGGAGGTCGGTGTTGTTGCAGGTTCTGTGGGATGGTGCAGTTCCCGGGCAACGTGAGGAGGAAGGTGCTCCTGCAGCTGTGCCTTCTGCTCTGCCACCCGTTCCCCGTGGTGAGTGTTTGCGCCACCGCTCCAGGGCCCTTCCGTGGTGGCGCTGCGGCCCTGACCTCTGCAGGGTGTGCGAGGGGACCCTCACACCCTCACTCACACACCACCTGCCCAGGTTAGCTGTCCTGCAAATTCCATTTTCCACTGGCTAAAAAAACACTTCAAATAATCCAAATGTGTGATTTTCCTAAAAGGTACAAGTGACATTTATACCTAACACATTGGCTCTCAAAGTGGGGTCCGGCCTGGACCCGGCTGCAGCAACCCCCCATCAGAAATGCAGGTTCTCAGGCTGCCCAGCCTGCTGAGTAACCCTGGGGTGGGCCCCGGGGGTGCTGAGACCACCTGCCCCATGAGCGGAGCTGCCAGTGGGCAGCTAGAGAAGAAAGCAGGTGAGGCGGTTTCCCTGACGAGGGGCAGGTTTTCCATGAAGCATTTTAGTCAGAGCAAGGTGGCCTGGCTTCTCCCTGATGAGGCTGCCATGGGGCAGCAGCCTGCAGGGTCGCCTGTCCAGCTGTGGCCAGGGTTTCCTGAGCCAGGATCCCAGGTCACCTCCTTCCTTTTAACAGCCTGCATGGTGCCCACGCAGGTCTCAGGTTCCATTTGGACCCAGGGTCGGCTCCCTGGTCAGGGTCCTGTCCCTCTGGGTTCTCATGGGCCTTACCCTCCTGCTGACGTGCTCCATCCTGCCCAGATCCGGAAGACCACGGCTAGCCAGGTGTACGAGATGCTGCTCACCTACGGTGACATCATGGATGAGGACGTCCTTGATGAGGTCATGACTCTGCTGAGCACCACAGCCTGGTGAGTGCGAGGTCCCTTCCCGTCTTCCTGCCGGGTTAGGGGCGGCATCTCAGTGCTTGGGGATGTCCAGAACCTCCCTTCCTGTCCCCGAGGCCTCCCCCACAAACCCTCTGAAGCGACAGGGAAAGCAAGGGTCCTGGCCCTCGACACCTCTGCTCTGAGGAGGTGGTGACCTTGTGTCTGCCCACAGGTCCCCGCTGATCCCCAAGGGGCTGGGCAGGCCCCCTGGACACAGGGCGGGGAGGGGGCGCCTCCTGTTCAGGTGGGATGTTCAAAGGGCAAAGGAGGGTGGTTCTGACCACTGATTGTTTCTCGTTGGGCTCCTTTCGTTGACTAGTAACATCGCAGGCTCTCGGTGCTGATGGGGTCACTTCAGGAATGACTCCCCTGCCCCTGAATGGCAGCGTCAGGAGTGCCAAGAAGGGAGTGGTACAGGAGGCCCTTTACCGTCTGCGGGGACGCGCTCACATGGTGGCCGTGGCGGGGGGCTGTGGTGGACCATGAGGAAGGGTGGAACAGGCGCCCCCTGTCCCCAACATCCAGCTCTTTCCTGGGGCACCCAGGGCCATTGGCTTCTCCTGGGTCCCTCAAGGCAGAGCTGGGCCCCACACTTGTTTCCGGTGCAGCGTCCTGTAGTGTCTGTTGGCTTTCAGGCTTGATGCGTTGGGACGGCAGGGTTGAAGACGTGTGAGGAATGGGGGCCAGGGCTAATGGAGGAGGGCGCACGGGCAGCGTGTCTGAGAGCAGGAGGGTACAGCCTGGGGGCGCACTGGGTAACGAGTCCCAATAGACACATGGGGGATACCCGCTACGGTCCAGGCACACGCTCAGCTGCGGGTGCACCCCTACAAGGTGACCCCTCCCCTCCCCTCCCATCTTGGAGAGGTCAGGTGGTGGCCCCTGGAGGCACCAGTGATAAGGGGCCTTTGTGCCGATGGTGGACTGGGCTCTGTTAGGGTCCCTGCGCTCACATCAGCAGGTGAGGACACGCATAATGTGTTTGTGTGCGTTTCCCTCGAGATTGTGATGTTCCTAAGAGGGCTGAGCTGTGCACAGAGCCTCAGGGCCCAGCTCCCCGGCTGGGGTGTGGACAGAAAAGGGCCTTTGGTTCCAGGGCTTCCTCGAGGTTCTCAGGAAGACATTTATCTCGGGGATGAGGGAGTTCAGTGAACATCTTTGCGGGAGCCGCTCATGAAAGCTCCAGAACAGAAAACATGGGTGCCCCTGCTCTTTGAGCACTGGGCTGCTGACCCGACCCCATTCCCCAGGGCCCGCTCTCTTTGGCGTCTGTGGAGAGAGTTGTGGTTCTTCCTGCGGAGCGCGCGGCCATGTGGTCAACTTCACGAACGCACAGGCACCTTGCAGATGCGATTCTAAAACAGCCTGGAAGGGGTGCCTGGTGCTGAAGCACCCCGTTGCTCCTTCCTCCCCACGTGGGGCACACAGGGCTCTTTCCCCACAACCCAGGAGCTTTCTGTTGAGGGAAATTCCAAAGGATTTTACGATAATTTATTTTTTTATTCTAAAAGAAGATAATTTCATCTTTATTTTTATGAAAGTGATAAACAGCTTCTAGGGGGTCAAGTAAAACTTTAAAAACCCACCTACCCCACCTGAGTCTCGGCATTTCTGGAAGTCTGGGGGCCACCTCTCTGGGGCCACGCCTCCCTGTGGGGCGCCCCCTTTTGGGGGCTCTCCTCCATAGTTTCCCCAGAAGGGTGCCAGGAGCAAGGGCTATATATCACCCACACCCGAGCGAGGATTTGCCTGGTGCCGTTTTCCCTGGTCCCCCCCCCCCCCGAAAACTAAGATGCTGGGTTCTGCACACCCAGCACACAGTTGCCTGAGGGTTTATGGCTCGTGACAGGCTGAACTGCAAGCCAGCCGTCCCCGCTGCTAAAGCTGCTCTTGCCGTCTCTTCCCCAGGGACGCAGAGCTCCCGCTCGTGAGAGTCCAGCGGAACCGCCTGTGTGACCTCCTTGGTGTGCCCAGACCTCAGCTGGTCCCCAAGGTAACCGCACGGCCCTTGGCCCTGTGAGACCCGGGGGCCCTTCCCACGCGAGCCACCATTCTGAGCTCGAGTCTGGAATGTTCTGGGTTGTACTGACCGGCTGGTGTGTTTCCCCACCCCGCCGGCCCCTCGTGTGCTTTACCAGCTCCTCCTCATAGGCTCCTGCCTGCCTTGTCCCCACCAGGCACGTGTCAGGTGTGTCCTGTGGGCACGACATCCAGGAGAGGCCCTCTGCCTGGCAGGTGGCCGTCCTTGCTGCCAGCCCTCAGCGGAGTTGGCAGTGACCGAGCTTGCTCCTCCCACATGAGGTCCTCGGTGCCGCTGTCTGGTTTCCACTGTCACCACCTCCCCAGACACTTGTGCTGTCTGGGGACTTTGTCACCCGCAGTCTCCGGGGCTGCCCAGTGAGGTGTCAGTCTTTTCCACGGCGTTGGTGTGTGCACAGTAGATGCAGTTTTCTGAGCTCGCAGGCCCCAAGCTGTCCTTCCAGGTTCTGCGTGGCCGTTGGGAGATTGTAGGCTCTTGCGTGTGTGCTTGCAGGGGATCAGGGTGGACTCAGGCTGTGGGCTCCACCGGAGCTCAAGTGCAGGGCACAGCCGCATGTTCCGTGAATGCTGGGCTCGGAGGCGAGTCCTTGGCCCCACGGTGCTCCAGATCCTGCCTCGCTGGCCGTATTCCCCTGGACCTGGGCTGGACCCTGACTGCTTCTGAGCTTTTACCGAGCAAGAACATCCAGACAGAAGTGAGCCCTGTCCAGCTTTGTGCTCACAAGGGACGAGCACCTGGCTCAAGGGTGGAGCCTCCTGGGCTGGCTGCTGGCGGCACGTGCTGCTGCTGGGCTGAGGGTTGCTGCCCCACGTGCTGGCGGGCAGGTTCCAGGACGTGCTTGCGTTGCATGTGCTGTGCGTTGTTGTGGTTGTTGGCGTGTGTGTCCCCTTCTGTGCTTTTTCTGGGCTGTCTGATGCATATGGGCTCTGGACTTGCGTCTGCAGGATCTCCCCCTCTGGGGGCGGCTTTCTCATCCCTAGGTTTCATAGGTTCCAACTTAACCCTTTCTTCCCTTTCTATTCTGTTTCATGGGCTTGTTTCAGGTCTTTACCGATTCTAAGGTTGTGTCTCCTCGGTGTTTCTTAAAGCTTTATTGTTTCGTCTCCTACATTTAGATTTGAGGCCACTCTGGACTGGCGTTTGCATGTGGTGCTGGGGAAAGGCCAGCAGATGCATCTTCCGTGCGCAGTCCATGCAGCTCCATTCTGGCCAGTGTCACCATGGCTAAAGTTGGGCCACATGTGGGGCTCTCCTCTTGGGTCCTCTGTCCTCCATGACCTCTGTCTGTAAGCCAGACACAGGAGGGTCTTGTGGGATGTCGTCGTGCTCACGTGAGTCCGTCTCCAGTTTTATTTTTCTGAGACCATCTTGACTCTTGGCCCTTAGGGTTTCAGAAACCCCTGCAGAACAGTCTCATCAATTTGCACCATGGAACCAGCCAGGCATTCGGCTGAGGGTGGCTTGGAGCCTCTGGGTCCACCTGGCAAGGACAGATGTCTGTGATGCTGAGGCTTGCAGCCTTGAGCACACAGGAGCGCTTTGTGCTTTATGGATTGGAGAAGGGATGCCACACTGTTCTGTAGCTGTCCCACAGCGCTTGGAATTCTGTTCGTTTTTCCATTCTTTCCTCTCTCAGCATTTCAATTGGGGAAGTTTCTATTGACCAGTCTTCAGGTTGACGGATTCTTTCCCTGACGATGTCTAGTCATTTCTGTTACTGTGTGTCTGATTTCTGGCATTTCCTTTGATTCTTTCTTAGACTTTCCACTTCTGCTTTCACTGCCTGTCTGTCCTTGGTGGCACCCACTTTCCCCATCAGAGCTCCTGGCACATTAATGATAGTTGTTTTAAACCCCGTCTGGTCATTCCAACTCTGCACGTCTAAGTCTAGTTTTGATCTTGGTATACCATCTTTCCCAACTGCTTTTTCTTGCCTCCTAGCATGTTTTGTAAGTTGAAAGCCAGACATGTTGTGCCGGTAACAGGAACTGAGGCAAGTGGGGCTCAGGTCTGTGAAGGTCTGTCTGGCAGGGGCCCCTGTGTGTTTGGTACCGCGGCAGCCTCTAGAGCTTTGAACTTCTCCAGCACGTTGTCTCCCTGCACTGTCCCCCTCCGAGGATTGGTGTCTGGGTGCTCTGTGAGAGCGGATCCATGGCTGTGACCCTGGAGTCCTGCGGGAGAGGTGGCAGGATGTGGGGCAGTTTGCAGTCATCTGAGCAAACTTCAGCCTTGGTGGGCTCCCCGCTGTCCCCCTGCAGGTACCATGGGCTCAGGTCTGTCCCCTGGAGAGGAGACCCTCGTGCTGGAGACGCCCGGGTGCGACTCACAGCAGTCACCTGCCAGAGTGCAGGGGGCTTTCCAGGTTTATGACCAGGTGAACCTGCGGGCTCCCCCCAAGATGGCACCTCCCAGAGTCTTGCCCTCCTGCTAGCTCACACTGCCTCCGGCAGCTTGTCGAGTCGGCACTTAGGCGTGCCTTCCGCTCTGTGGTGAGCTCCAGCAGCCTCTGCTCCAGGCAAAGTCTGCATTTGTCCAATAGAGCGTTGGGGGGCGTTCCACTGATGAGGCTGTGAACATGCAGCTGTTCCCCGAATGCCCTCAGGGCTTCCCAAACCTGCCTGCCTGCTCCTCGTTCTGACGTCTCGGCCTTGCAGTACATTGCAAGTGACCTTATGGTCACTTGGAAATACTCTACCTGTAAGAATGCTATGTGCCCTCAGGTCTGCCTTGTCTGATGGTAATGCGGCCACACTGGATTTTTGGTTGTCGTTGACACGTTTTCCTTTGTGTTTTCTTACATTTAAGCAGATCGCTTATAAATGATAATTAGGTCTTACCTGTTTTTAATCTACTTCAATTATCTCAACTTGTTGGAGTATTTTGTGTCCTTCTATGTAACATGTGATTACGATTCAGTTGGGTTTGCTGCCATCTTTGATTCTTGTCTGATCTCACAGTTCTCCTGCCGGTCTGCCAGTGAGGACCGTGGGAGCCCGGCGGTGTGAAGGGAGGGTGGCACCAGCCGCCGTCCCAGCACGTGACCCCCTGCCAGCCTTCCGAGCAGCCTGTTTCCTCACTGTGTCCTGTCAGCTTTTCAGTCTTTCGTCCTCTGGGCACCTGGAATCACGTTATTTCTGGGATGGTTTTCCTGCTCCCCTCTGGTGCCACGTGGTGCCTGTCTTCTTTCATGCCCCCCCGTTGGCACCGTGAAGGGTGGGGATGGCAGGCCAAGTGCAACACTGGCTTTCCAACTAAATGTGCCGCTTATGCTTTTATCAGGAAAATCTGACACAGGTAGATGAAAATGGGGGGCAGAGTACCGGGGACCTCCCCACTGCTACCCAGGTCGTGTCGGCCACGGGGCTCGGGGGGGGGGGCAGTACTGACCTTGTGCTGTGTCCCCCCACAGCCTGGCACCTGCTGAGGCCCCCTGCCCACCCAGCAGAGGGGAGGAGCCCGATGATGGTCAGCACGAGACACCTGGACGCGGCGCTGAGGGACCTGGAGATCGTCACAGCAGTGGCTGTTCCTCACACGTGTCCTGGGGTGTTGGTGCTTTTGTCTTCAGGTCCCTGGGAACCCCCATCTATAAAATCGTGTCCTAAGCAGTTGTGTGTGTCTGTGTCTGACACTGATGGGGGGGGTGCAGGGGGTGGCCCCGAGTGACCAGGCCCAGGTGCCAAGTTCCTCCTCTCCCCTCCCCTTCTCCGTTGTCATGCCTAGCGCATGTGGGCATTGCACATGGTCACCAACCGCTCACAGTTTTGTGTAACCAAAGAATCCTGCCTGAGATGGGCTGTAACCCCACAGGAGAGGCTCGTGGTAGCTAGTTAGGAACCCGACAGAGAGGTAGGTGTGTGGCTACACCAGCATCTGCCATGGGCGGACAACCCACCAAACGTGTACTTCTAGGATACCGGGTTCTCTGGCGCCATGTGGGGAAGTTCCCCAGTTGATTCCTTTGTTCCTGAAAAAGTGCCTCTTTCTAATTGCCCAGAGCAGACCTAACCTAAAGGCCAGTGAGGCTGATGTGCACGAAGGTTCACCACCTCAGGGCTCACATGGCCACACCTTGTATGCTGTCTCACGGGTTGAGGCCTGGATGTGGCATCAGGGGTGCTGCCACCCACATCTGAGGCGAGAGTGGTGGCTGTGCTGTGGTCGGAGCCATGAACCGAGGACGGACGGTGTCTGGGCTGGGGAATGAGCTGCCCCCGCGGGTGTGTGTGGCAGTGGGGGCCGAGGGAGCCGATGGGTCCTGGCAGACCCTGGTTGCTGCTTCCTTCACAGGGAGTGGTTTTCTTGCCTGGGCTAAACTGCTGACTTGTGGGAGCGTTTACCTTCCGTGGGCTACACCTCCTCTCAGACCCCCTGAAAGAGAAAGTAAGTCTGGTGTTAACTTTGTGGATTAACTTGTATTTTATTCAAACCTTAAAACATGCTTGCCTCTCAGAAATAAGTAGGGAGCTCTCCATTTTAGATGGAAGACTAGTCAGAGACTCCTCGGCTGTTGGTGGGGGTCACACACCAGGGTCCCAGAGGACTGAGGGGGGGGGACGGTACCCGCAGAGCAGTGTCTGGACCTCAGCTACAGAAAGCCAAGCCACTTCTGAGAAGCAATACAATGAACTGTTTTTAGCGTCTTTTTAAAAATCCACAAGATTCAGGTGTGCCTACATGGCTCAGTCGTTGGGCATCTGCCTTCGGCTCAGGTCGTGATCCCAGGGTCCTGGGATCGAGCCCTGCGTCGGGCTCTCTGCTCGGCGGGAAGCCTGCTTCTCCCTCTCCCACTCCCCCTGCTTGTGTTCCCTCTCTCGCTCTCTCTGTGAAATAAATAAAGAAAATCTTAAAGGGGACCTGGAGCTGGGCGAGCTCACCACAGACCCAACACTGTACTGCACAGCTCTCCCTCGCCACCGCTGGCCTGACTGCAGCCCGAGCGAAACCACCTGACCCACTGGCTGCACACGGCCCCGCGCCTCTGCCTGCCCTCAGCCATGTCAGCTCCTGTTGGTCACTCTCGCTCTGACCAGGCTGCAGCTGCAGTTTCCGGAGGGCCCCCGGCCCAGGTGGTCGCTCGAGGAGAGCGCAGCCCCACACACAGCTTAGAGTGTAGCCAGAAGCAGACCTGTTGGCACAACCAGTGCCCGGCAGCAACATGCAGTGGGCAGCGTGTGGGGCTGCCGTGGAGGGGCTGTGCAGTGGGTGGGCACCAGACAGAGAAGAGCACCTTGGGCTCCAGAAAGGAAAGAGCTTGGTGAGTCTGAGGAGGAGCAAGGAGCCAGGGTGCCTGGAGCAGAATGTGCACACACAGCCACGTGCCAGACACAAAACCGAACCTCCCCGTGAGCAGGCACTGGGTCCTGAGCATCCGTGTCTGTCGAGCCTGAGACACGGAGGGAAGTCTCATTTCAGTGGCAGTGTGGGGGTAGGACATAAGGCCCACGCGGAGCTGGGACCCGGTGGCTGCGCCCTTGGCAGTATCACGGATCAGAATGAGGGCACAGCACCCGTCTCCGTCCCCCGGAGCTGGTGGGAGGAGTCTCCTGGAGGTCCGCCTGGAGCAACCTGTGCAGTCCTCAAAACCAACCCGGAGAATGTGCCCCAACCAGTGGTGCTCCCAGGGAGTGGGCAGAAGAGGCAGAAACCTCTCTGGAAGTGTGCAGGCTCACCTCTGCACAGAATGGAAAGAACCCAAACCCACGCTCCAGAAAGGTCACAAAATACACAAACAGAATCACTAGCAAGACTTAATGGAAGCAGACACCAAAAGACTGAGACGTTGGTAATATCAGCCACAAATTTGTTTTTGAAAGTGCTAGAAAGTATCAAGAGATTGGGGGGGACAAGCTCCCTGAATGGATTTAAACAACCAACTAGACACAGCTGAAGAAATTATCCGGAAAAATAGAAGAGACCGCAGAATTTGGTGTGTACAGAGAGTCCCGGGGGCTCATCCCCAGATGCTGGAGCCCACAGACCCCTCGCAGGGGTAGGAGCACAGCCCACACACACGGCCACAGCGCTGCCCAGCCCCTAACCGCAGGGGCCCCCGCTATGCGAGGGAAAGGAACGGTCCACGTGGCGGAACTGCGTACGTGGGAAAACCATCACCGAAGAAAGAGACACATCCAGATGACACAGGTCCTGAATGCATAGCTAGGTTTTTAGCCTTAGCACTGCTGGCACTTGGGGCTGAATAATTCCGGGTTTTTTTGGAGGGGGAGGGGCAGAGGAAGAGAGAATCTCAAGTAGACTCCATGCTGAGCACGGAGCCCGACGTGGGGCTCGATTTCACCATCAAGAGATCATGACCTGAGCTGAAGCCAAGAGTTGGGACGTTCAACCGACGGTACCGCTTAGGCGCCGCTGGACTGAACTAGTCTTCAGCAACATCCCAGATGCCAGGAGCAAAGCCCCTTCCCCACTCGCACAACAAAACTACCGCCAGATGTTGCTAGAGTTTTGGCGGCGGGTTCAGCCCCACTGGGAGACACTGCTCTGGTGAATGAAGTGTGGGTGGGAAATGGTCCCGGCTGAGCAGCTCCAGTGCAGGGGGGTATGCTGAGCAAACAGGAGCAAGTAGCAGGTACACAGGATAAACAGTGTTTAAAGCAAGCAGGATCTGAAAAACGGACCAGAGTGGCAGGAAGTATTCAGTATGAAAACAAAGGTGCTTGTAAGAGACGCTGAGTGCTGAAGCAGGAGGCCGGGTCCTCCTGCCTCAGAGCAGCTCCTCCTGCACTTTTACTTGGAACGCAGACCTGGCTTCTCGTTCTGACTCCCGCGAGCCCCACCATGAGGCCGCTCCGGGTTATCCGAGCCCACTCGGGATCCTTGCCTTGTTCGTTTGAGCCCTTACCACAGGGTTCCTGCCAGCATGGTCACCCCTGCATCCGGCACAAGTCCCTAATGACACAGTGTATCAGTGGCCTTGTTGTTTGGGTCCTGAGACAGGCAAAGGGGAGGCGGCTCCACATCACCCGTGGTTGCTCACAGCTGATGGCATTTGCTCTCGGCCGGGTTGAGCACGGGGGTTCCCAGGCCTGGGAGACTCAAGGTGCCAGAACACCCACAAACACGACACCCTGCCCACAGCCCGCAGCAGCCAGTTCAGGAAGCCAAGCAGTAACCCTGTAGCCAGCGGTCCGAAACAGCCAGGACACTGTCGATAACTGCTGGCTTCCCTGACTCACCCCTCCCGCAACCGGGGACCCACCAGAGGGGACCAGACATGTTCCCCTGACCAACCGTGAGAACGGCACTGGGCCACAGGAGCCCCCTTTCCCACGCCCTCAAGCCTCTGCCATCCTCATGGGACCAGCTGATGCCTGTCCTGCCAGCTCAGAGCACACAGCCTCTGTTCTCAGTCGCCGGTCTGTATTTCCACATCATGAACCAAGTCAGACTCAGAAACTGGGCCCCGGGTTTGCCCAACATCGACAGAATCAAACGTCCACCACGGCGGGACCCGAGCACCCAGCAGCTGTTGTCCTCGTGGCAGAGGTGTCTGTTAGGAGCGTGAGCTAATGACCTCCTGGCGCGACAGACGCCACGTGCTGGGCGGTGGTGGTGCCCCCAGGGTCAGGGGAGTGTACGCGCTGCACACACGGTCAGGGACACATGCCCCTCAGGCTGTGGGCTCACAGCCCTGCCTTTTGCTCCATGTAAACCATGTCCTGGTTAAAAACACACTCACACACATGCCCTGCAGGTGAAGGGCCAGTCCCATAAGGAAGGGGGTTTGCTGGGCATCTGGTACACCTCCCACCTCGCATGTTCCCCCTCAGGGCCATGGGCCACCCCTCCTTAGCACCCTCAATCCCACGTACCTGGGGGCAGCTGCCCTGGGCCAGTCAGCTGAAGTGAAGGAAGTCCCGGCCTTCCTGCAGGTGCAGTGACCTCAGGTTGTCTTCAAATGCACCACCGGTGAGGTCCTGTGGGAGGAACAGCATGTCTGGCTTGATCCAAGCCTCCCCCAACCCGCACTGGGACCCCCAGAGGCCCTCCCGAGGGGGCCTGGGGTGGAGTCGCCTGTGACTACCTGTCAGGTGGTCCACAATGAACTTCTCTGTTGAGAGGGGCTGGAGATGGGGGGCGGGTGGGGACATTGTGAGAAGTTGGCCACAATGTCCTGCTGGTCATCAGTGGAAGGGAGGGAGGGAGGAGTGGGGGGGGGTCCCCTGAGGCATACACACCCCCCAGCTCAAACCTGGTCCCTCCCTGCAAAAGGTAGCTGACAGAAGGACTAAGGGGAGAAAATGAGCCCCACGCGCAGCTCTGCTTCACCCATCTGTCCTGGGCACACCAGCTTTGCTCTTTGTGCCTTGTCCTGGGGCCCCCATGACACCCCTGCCTCCCTTTGCAGAGGCCTGGACCCAGACTCGAAGTGTCAACAGACCCCTTCCTGCCCCTTGCTTATAGGCACGGGGACACGCCACACGGGGACACGCCGCAGGGGGACACGCCACAGGGGGATGGCCACACGACATGATGAACGCTCCCTGCTCAATTAAAAGACGACAGCAGAGTCAGATGACATCAGTGGGTTTATATGGAATAATGGACAAAATGTAAATGTAAAAATGTAAATGTAAAAAAAAATACAGAAAAGATACGTATACTATGCTGCCATTGGTTTAAAAAACCATGCACGAGGGCGGAGCAAGATGGCGGAGGAGTAGGAGACCTGGATTTCGTCTGGTCTCAGGAATTCAGCTTAATAGGGATCAAACCATTCTGAACACCTAGGAACTCAACAGGAGATGGAAGAAGAGAGTAGCAACAACTCTCTGAACAGAAAAATGACCACTTACTGGAAGGTAGGACGTGCGGAGAAGTGAACCCGAGGTGATATTCGGGAGGATACACGGCGGGGGAGGGGCCTCCGCTTCTGGCAAGTGCTAGAGCCGCGGAGCACAAAATCGGACCTTTTAGAAGTCGGCTCCGCGGAGGGACATCGCTCCAGTGGCTAAGCGGGAGGTGGAACCCTTACGGGACAGTGTGGTCTCAGGACCCTCGGGGTCACAGAAAGACCGGGGGTGCCTGAGTGCGGCAGAGCTCCCAGGTATCGGAGCGGGGAAGCCGGCTGCAGAGACGGAGCCGAGGCGCGGGCTCTCAGCTTGGGGTGGCCATAAACTGTGATCCGCGGCCCAGTCGGGCCACTGCTCCTCCAGCAGGGACCCAACAAGCGGCAGATCCAGGGAGACTCCCCTCCCTCCCCCGGGAGGAGCGGCGCGGGAGCGCACCGCAGGGATCTGCTGGGTTTGGAGACTCCACACGGGGTCGGGCGCCAGAGATAGAAACGCTCGGTCACAGGCCGGGTGAGCACGGAGTGCGGCCGGAGACCGGGGACACGGGAGTGACTGCTTTTCTCTGGGGGCGCACTGAGGAGCGGGGCCCCGAGTTCTCGGCTCCTCCGGGCGGAGATTGGGAGGCCACCATTTTCACCCTGGTCCTCCAAAGCTGTACCGAGAGCTTGGAAGGAACAAAAGCACCGGAGAGCAAACCCAAGCAGCTTGCGTAGCCCGGACCGACAAGGGCGGGGCAATTCCGCCTCGGCAAAGACATTTGGGAACCACGGCAACAGGCCCCTCCCCCAGAAGATCAGCACAAACGGCCAGCAAGCCAAGACCCAAGTTTACCGATCAAGGAGAACGGGAGAACTCCAGCGCTAGGGGAATACTGCACATAGAATTCATGGTTTTTTTACCATGATTCATTAGTTTTTCAAAGTTCATTTTTTAACTTTTTTTTAAATTTTTCTTTTTCCCTTTTTCAACCAACATCTTATCAATCCCTTTTTTAAAAAAACATTTTTTATTTTTCATTTTTAGAGTCATATTTTATCCCTTCATAGTAGTTAACCTTATTTTTGGCATATATATATATAAGTTGTTCTCTCTTTAAAATTTTGAGATACAGTTTCTTCTAACAGATCAAAATATACCCTAAATCACTAGTGTATGGCTTTGTTCTAGTCTCCTGCCTGATCACATTCTTTTTTAAATGTTCTTCTTTCTTTTTTCAAACTTCTTATCGTATCAATTCCTTTTATAAAATCTTTTATAATTTTCATCTTTACAGTCATCTTCCATCCTTTCATTGTATCAACCCTTATTTTGTACATATATGTCTTTCTTCCTTTAAAATTTTAGGAGGCACTTTTTCCTAACAGACCAAAATACACCCAAAATCTAGTGTGTGGCACTGATCTATGCACTAGCCTGATCATATGTGATATTCGGTTTTTTTTTGGTATTGTTCTGTTTTTGTTTTTATCTTTTTCTTTCTTTCTTTTCTCTTTCTTTTTTCTTTCTTTCCCTTTCTTTTCCCCTGGTTTCAGGTCT